AATTAACCTTTTTTAACAACAAATTAACCTTTTTTCCATTTCAAATTACCTTTTTTACCTTAAATTAACCTTTTTAATTTCAAAAATTAACTTATTTTTTTACCTTCAAAATTAACCCCTTCTTTAAAGCATTAAAAAACATAGAAGATGGTATAAGAAATATATGCATGTAAAATATTCCTGTAGGTTTAAGCACTTTTAACAAAAAATAATTGTGCTCTTAAGAGACCATACTAATTTTAATTAATTTTCATGGAGTAATTTAGTTAAGCACGCATTTCATTCTATTTTTTAATTTTCATATTTAACAGCACAATCATTTTTATATTTCATTTTATAAATGTTTTTAAATATTATAATATATATAAATATTATAATTAATTTTCATGTTTTTAAAAGCTCAATTGTTTATTATTGAAAAAATATCAAATAAAAAGAATAATAATTTCCTTTTATATTTATTTTATATAGTTTCTTATTTTTATTTTTATTAATTTTCATACGTCTTCATAGACCCCCTATGAGCCCTACTATTATTAAAAAATTAAAAAGTTACAGAAATTGTATTGTACTTTACATGCTTATATTTCAGCCTTCTCCTGCGTTTTTTAATGCTTTAAAGAAAAAGTTAATTTCTCATTAAAAAAAGGTAAACTACAAATTTAAAAAAGGTTAATTTTAAGATAAAAGAGTTAATTTGGCGGAAAAAGCTACATTCTCTAAGCCTGTGATTATAATTCAAAAGAAATTATTTCTTACATAACTTCATTTGTATTTATTCATACAATGCTGATTCTTTCGTTATTTATGAATATAGATTAATTCTAAATTCAAATAGCTATATTTTTTTTTATTTCATGGCTTCACCTTGAATCAACAATAATTTTCCAGCGACGGTCGTCGATTTGCAATAAACGTACGCGAGTGTTCGAAAATCGGATGTAGTGGTTTAATCCGGTAAATCCAAATTAAGTGACATCAATCAATAATCAATTTCCAGGAGATCTATTCAAATCGTTTGGCCGCAAGAATAGTTAAATAGTACGAAGTTGCATATCATTCATGAAGATCACGTCCTTAATCTCAAACAAACCTCTAATACGAAAAATTGAGTCCTACGATCGAAGCAGGTGTCCCACACGGGTGTATTCTTAGTCCCATTCTGTCCACTATTTATACTGCCAATCCATTCCAACACCACCCTGTCAGCTCATCGAAGAATTGTGCAAAACTGGAAGCCTTGCTCTAAACTAAACGCCAACAAGTAATTATCGACATCCACACGAGTGAAATATTTAAGACTATACCTATTACCTAGCAGACTGAATTCACAATCAACAGAATAGAGACAACTAAGAAGACCGCTAAGACGAAAATTAAACTATAACAAGCGCACATTTATTTAACTTATTTGGACATACGGAGCAAAACTGTGGCGTACCAGGAAGTTTAAAATCCAATCGAAAGTACTCAGAAGAATGCTCCAAGCTCCATACCACTCAAACCTCACTCCATGAACATGCCCTTTGTTCAAGACACTGTTCGCGCTTCCTTAAGTTCCCTCTGACCTTTCGTCCCAACCCTTCCATCCAAGCACCTGAACCCAAGAATCTTTCATAAAAAATTGCGCCAGAGAGCCTACTCGCTCCTTAATCCCTCAGCGCCTACTCGCCCTTTAATCCCTCAGCAGAGAGAGGGACTAGGCTATTACTCATGACATGTGTCCGGAATATGCAGAATACAAATTTTGATCTTGAGATATCATATCTGAAAATAATGAGCATCGGCACGTTACAAGGTGGGTAGTAATCAAGTCGTCGTGAACAATCGATACCCCGGCCAAATAAATCCTGGTTACCCATTTATTTTGATCTTCCCATTTAATTTATTATTAAACGCAGACGGGTCGAACAGTTCGTGAAGAACGCCGAGGGCTGTTTTTCTATCACGTGAAAGTATGTAAATTGATATCGGAACTTGTGTTGTGGCGAAATCAAAGCGAAATTATTTATTAGAATGACAATTTTCGTTTTTTGCCCCATTGCAAACAATCGATTGGACGTCATTGACTCTAAACGTTTTTAGCTCGCTAATATATTAAGACCGCTATAGAATGGCCAATTGACTTAATAGATACCTAAATCGTACATCAATTTAAACAATTATTACTGTGTTATTTTATTTTAGTTAATTTCAAAATGAAATTAATTTATAAACAATGCACACAGTAAAACATGTAAACACTGATCATTGGATATTTAAGCATAAATGACCATACTTTTTTAGTATTGGTTTGAGGACATAGGATCAAAATTACAAATGAACCAGTTAAAATTCCTTGTCCTTCCCTCTTTTCCACTCGCTCTCTCTGTCTATTTATCCATATTATATTACATTTACATTTTTCTGTCTAATTCACCTTTTTAACTTCAAATTAACCCTTTTCAATTTCAAATTAACGATTTTTAATTTCAAATTGGGCTGATAAAATTTCTAGATCCCACGTAAAAAATACTGATACTATATAATAATCTAGAAATACATACAAAATAAATGCAGAACATATTGAAAAAAACTATTTTAAAAAAACTGTAAATTATTACCATTGTCAAGCACTCTCGACACGTGTTTAATATATAGCGAATATACCAAGTATAGCGTTTTTCTATCTAATTAACCGTTTTTAATTTCAAATTAACCATTTATAATTTCAAATTAATTATTTTTAATTTCAAGTTCATTTTTTTTCTAATTAACCATTTTTAATTTCAAATTAACCCTTTTAGACTTCACATTAATGATTTTTTTTAATAACTTAGGAGATGAAAGGTAAAAGCATGAAAAATAAAATTTCTGTATATTTTCAAATTTTTGATTAAATATAAAATAATTGGGCTCTTAGAAGACCATATGAAAATGATTCACAATTAAAATTAAAATAGATATAAAATTAAATATAAAAACAAATTATTCTTTTTTTAATCTGTTTTTTAAAATTATTTCTCTATTTTTTAAAATCTCGTAACTATACAATAATTAGGCCCATTGAGGACCATATGAAAACTAATTACAACTAAAATCAAAAATTATATCAAAATAAAGGATTCTTCCATTGATTTTAGGATTNTAACAAATTGTTGTTTTTATATTTAATTGTATATAACATTTAATTTTAATTTAGTTAATTTCCATGTGTTGTTACATAAGAACAAATGTCATATTTTAAAAATGCTTTAACTTTTCATTTTAATTGTTATTAATTTCATACGGTCTCCTAAGAGCGCATGAATTTTATATTTTTTAAAAATTCATAAATATACGGGAATTTTACTTGACATGCTCATATTTATTTATCTTCCCAATTTTTTAATGAATTAAATAACGGGTTCATTTAAAGTTAAAAAAGATTGATTTGAAGTTCAAAAGGGTTAATTTGAAAATAAAAGTAGAAATTTGAGGAAAAGCTATCTATCTTTCTCTCTCTCACTTTCTCACTCCTCTCCCTCTCACAGTGTGCGTCTATCATAAAAAAGTAAGGTATCTCTATGCCTATCAGAATTAGCAATTAACAAATTGTTGTTTTTATATTTAATTGTATATAACATTTAATTTTAATTTAGTTAATTTCCATGTGTTGTTACATAAGAACAAATGTCATATTTTAAAAATTCTTTAACTTTTCATTTTAATTGGTCTCGCATAAATATACTGGTCTAGTTTTACAAGTTGCATTTTTTTATTTCACTAAAAACTTTAAAACCTAATCGGCCGATATAATTAAGGAAAATAATTTATGAAGACCTGATGAGCCTGAATAGATGTGTTTTTTCTTACGGAAGTGGTTTGTCGAAACCAAGGCCCTGAAATTGCTCGAATGAAGACGCTTATGGAGATCAAAGTCCCTGCGGGATTTATGAGCATGCAAGGGCTTTAATAAAATTTTCTTCTACCGACTTATTTGCCGATTGGATGGTGAAAGACGGGGAAATGACACCGTTGCGTCATTGTTTTCGATATCTACCTTCACCGCCGGTACCGTTTGTGCACAGTAGTTTTTAACTTTTCAAACATATAACTTGAGCGTTCTTATTGAACACTGTAAAAAATGGAAGTATTAATATAACAGCATAAATTGTGACAGATTGAATCAATTTATGTTTTCGCACATGACAATGCTTGATGGGAGGATCGTTCGGTTTCTCGAAGGGTCGTAAGTAACGCGGATGGCTCTCTGCAATTATGGGACGAATAGTTTGACCTAGAAGCAGTTTCCACCCAAACGGTACATCCAAATTTGGGTCAAATCAAGGAAAAAATATTTTTCCAATTTTTCCAGATACATTGTAAACAAAGCTTTGTCAACAATGCATTGTTTTATTTAAAGAATGATTTAAATAGGGCTTTTTGGGCAGCAAACATATTGTGAAAAGTCTGGACATAACTAATCGAGATGTTATCGCATTTCTTCAGAATTCCAGTTATAAATATTGTTATTATACTCAATATCAGTGTACAAGAAATTTGTTAGATTCTCTGTTTCTTCGACTTACTGATCTCTGTGATGATGGTAATCACTCATCAGGGTCTAAGTTGTCCGTCTGAGCTGTTTTTGGCACATAACACACCGTGATAAAATTTTATTTCCCAACTACATATCAGGCAAATTTGTCACTAATAGAACAGGTTTGACAGGATAAAACAGATAGATAGATGTGTTGCTTAATTCTTGGCATTTAGCAGTGGTTAGTGAGAGCTGATTTGACATTCCATCGGCAGCGACGCCGGCAAGAACAGTCCCAGACGTGAAAATCCCACTAATGCCAATAACGGAGCATCGACGTGACAGAAATCGAACGCTTTTTAGCGGTGCTCTGTGCAGGGGGATCTTTGCAAAGATGTCAAGATTGCCATTTGGTGTTAGATTTCCCGCAGGCGTTTAACAGTAGTGTTATTGTGTTATCGTATTTAGTCAGCGTGCAGCAGAAGTGAGTGCTACTTACTCAGTGTGCTCTGGGACGGAAGGCTGGCTAGAAAGTGGGGTTCCGACACATTGCTGGACGAGTGTTCCTCTCGGCGTCTAGGCTGCGCTAGCCTTCGATCCCCACCAAACTCGTTTTCTTCCGAGATGCCCTGTCGAGTCGTTTCGTTCAGACGGCGGCGAAGAAGAGGAAACCCCCAGAAGGCGTCACTAGCCTATCCTGCCGGAAGCCGAAGACATCAACGCCTCAAAATCTTTATATACACTGACAGGCAAAAAATTCCACCCAACTAATTTTTTTTCATTTTCTCGATAAAAGAAAATTCTGCCCGTAATTTGTCTTACTGTTTTTATCAATAAATATTTGTTTACGATATGTTTTAAATTGGAAATATCAATTAGACGTAAACACACTTAATCCTTAATCCAAAACAAGGATAAAGGATTTTTCAACGTTTACTTTTTACGGAATTTAAAATGTTGATTCAGTCTCATTTGAATTTTGATGCAATAAACTGTTTCGCTTTCATCTTTGTTTTCTTAATTTCAATTTTTAAACTTAAAAATGCCACTTAGTGCTTAGGATGTTGCGCGTGGTGTGGCACTTGTTGATAATAGACGTTCGTACGGCTGTTGTCATCAGAGTCATCTCTGCAAGACACCTTAGACGTTTCCGAGAAACTAGGTCCTACCATAGAACGCGCAGTTCAGGACGCCCTAGGGTAACAGAAGAACAGGATGATCGTTTTTTGACTTTTAGAATTTTGCGAAACCGGCTCCTTACTATTGTTCAAGCTATACATCAGCTCCAGAAAGTTCGAGGTGTCCAAATTTCTGAACGCATTGCTTGAAGAAGATTAAATCCGTATGGACTGATGGCTTTCCGCCCCGTAAGAGGACCAAAATCGACCAGAACATACAGAGTGGCACGGCTCGCATTTGCTCGAAAACATAACCATTGGTTTTTGGACTTTTGGTTTACTATACTTTTTACAGATGTACAATTGTTCTACGATCTCCAGATGGGCGTGAAAGAGTGTGGAGAGAGCGAAATGAAAAGTACGAAGCCGTAGCTGTGACGATGTAGGCGGGAATTTCAACGGAGAGTCGCACAGTTAGTTGTTCGTGGAGGGTCTTTGTCGGCCACAAGCTATGAGGATGAAATTTAGGAACATCAGCCGTTGCCTATACTCGATGAAATCAGCTACAATCCTATTCTAATGCATAGTGCACGATAATGCCCGTCCACATGTCGCTCGCATAGTACAAACGTACCTTCAACAGCATAACGTCATAGTATTAGCTTGGCCAGCTCGTTCTCCAGACTTGAACCCCATCGAACATTTATTTATAGGATAACCTCAAAAGACGAGTAAGACCAAGTCCATCACTTCCTGATAATGTAGATATTTTGTCCAATTTTTCTGCTTTGGTTGTTCGCTATGTTTATTGTCTCTTTTTTCATGTCTTTTGTAACATTTTTTTGTTAAGTTAAAGTTGAGAAATAAATTTTGCCCAAGATAAAAAGTTGAATTACCATTTAACCCCATTCCCCCTTTTTCACACAGTCACCACTTTTTTCCCTATTTAGCATAACATTTCAGCATTTTGCTTGGATGTAATTAAAGAACAGGGTATACTGCTAGAAAGTTTATTAAACAAGAAGTTTTTATGGAATTTGCCAACCTCTACCGTGAATTTTTCCAATGAGTTTGAAAATTTAGCTTTTCTCGGCGGTAGCCGAGTGGCTAGCGTGAGAGACTCTCGGCTCGTAGACCCCGCGGTCGTGGGTTCAATTCCCACCGTTGCCTCTGGCCTTTTTTTCACGATACCCTTCCCTTGTCTGGAATTGGCTAATAGTACATAAAGCCATTAAAAAAATTAATTAATTAAAAAACTTTAAAAAATCTGACCCAAGATTTTTTTGCATTTTCATTTTTTTGCAGAATGTCCACTTTCATCTGATTATTGAGTTACTGGGTTAATTTTCCACAAAGCCCCGGTTTTTTTTGTTGTTTTTTTTAGAAAAATTATGTTAAAAGTATTGAAAAGTGGTTTGACCTTTTGTACATATGTAACCCACAGTTTATTCCAACTTTAAGCCCTCCTGTATGACTTGAATTATTTTAGCAAGAAACAAAGTTTATATTTAGTTTTCTGAACCCAAAAACCATCTGAATACATATTTTTGGGAAGAAAATCATTTTTCTCAAATTCTTCACCTCCAATTTTTTTAAGTTTTCACAAATGACTTTGAAATGACTCCACTCATCTACAGGAGACTGGCTTTACACGAATTCAGATTGATTTTTATTTACTACATGTAATGGCACAAACCTGGCCTCCAATAATAATTTGGTCCAAAGATATAAAATGACTTTTTTTCAAAAATTTATTTTCTTGGCCTACTTTACAGGAAGTGACTTGGTTTTTGGAACATTTTATGTATCTAATATTATTTAATCCGATCCCTCCTATGATGTTCTTATCCTAAGTAAACAATAAAACTACTGTGTAGAGATTAGTGACCGTTAATCGATAGTTATTCAGATATCGTGAGATGCGGTCAGGTGTGATGTAGGTTTCAGAAAAACATTTTCTTTATCGTGCCAACGTTTCGATCTTTTATTGAGATCATCTTCAGGGCTCAAAGTGTTTGTCTTCTGTGTAATTGTGCCATCCTTGCGTGTCGTGTTGAGACAACACTCTCAACACGACACGCAAGGATGGCACAATTACACAGAAGACAAACACTTTGAGCCCTGAAGATGATCTCAATAAAAGATCGAAATGTTGGCAAGATAAAGAAAATGTTTTTCTCAAACCTACATCACACCCGACCGCATCTCACGATATCTGAATAACAATAAAACTACTGATATGAAATGTATGCATTAATATACTCACAACATAGGCAGAAAATTATACTTTAAAATAATATTTACATTAATTTTTTCTCTTCACTCCTAGGTTGGCAAGAATGCTCAGAACGCGTTTAATTTTTTTTTTTTTTTATTATTCCTAGTTGTCACTGAAAAATGTTTCATACAAACCGGAACCAATGTCTAAAGCCTCCCCTTGCAAGTATGTTTAATGACTTTGGCACCAAAAAAAAAAATAATAATAATAATTGCAATAGTTTAGAATTTAAAAGTGTGTGACCTACTTATACAGACTAAAAGTGCCTTGTTAATTTGTGCAGAATAATTTCAGGCCTAGATACTAAAATGAAATCAATAAAGGAGTAGGGAAAAAAGGAAAATCTACAAAGATCTGTACACCAATGAGATTTTATAATCGTTCATCATTTAATATTAATTTTATTCACAAAATAAAAGTAATAAATACATAACAAAGTATTTATTGCTAAACTTCTAACAGCCTTATATTGATAAATAATTAAGCATAAAATAACTTACATTACACCACAGGAATACATCCTAATAGTACAATAATTTATATATATATATAAATATATGAGATGAAAGCCAGAGTTTATTCTATCGTGTTAAAATTAAATATTTTTTTATGATATGATTTCTAAATAAACATATGGACCTTGAACCAAAATTATGACATAGAAAACTATAAGGTAAATTAAAACATTTTTTAAAGCGTTATTCTCAAAATCACAGCTCATGAGGATAGTTACCTCTGGCTCTCAGCTTCTTACGTTTAAAAAAAAAAAACTTTATAATTTAAATAAAGAACATTGTTAATGAACGAAACAATTTATTAAGAAAAAAGTAAGTAATTTCACAGTCTTTTTTATTTTAACAAAAGGACATTCAAGAAGTGGATGGCTCATTAGAAGGTTCCTTGTAATGGCGATACTCTGGTTTTAGCTCCCACATATTTTTATGCGGGTTTTTAAGGTTATAATTACACACTTCTTTCAAAATTTCTTTAAGATAAACCTGAAAATATATCAAATTTCATTAGATTTTTTTTAACCATTCGAAGTTTTTAGCAAAATAGTCACAATTATGATCATTTTAATAAGAATATAACGTGGGTTTCAAGTTTTCTGGTAGAGATGAGGGCTTATGAAAGCAAAAGATCATCCGCATAGGTAGTGGACAGTTTCAGAAAAAATAGTAACATCTACAGTGCATATTGTGCACAGGAAGGATCTTAAAATACTTCTTTCAGCTACCACTGCATCTGTGTCCTACAATATAATGTAACTCTGTCCGGCTGACAGAGAGGAACCATCGTTGATTTTAAAGTTTCTCTTGGTTAGGTAGGATTTTACCATCTGGTAGCAAGTAAAATGGAGGACAAAAATTCAGAGCAGCTTTGAGTCAAAATTACAAAAAAAAGAAATTATGGTGACTAAAAATTAAAAATTTAAGTGTTGTTTTGTCTTCAAAGTAGGAGAGCAGACTAACAGATACATAATTTATAAACAAAAATGAGTAATTAATAATCCTAATTAAGGATTAGCCTAGTTTGAGCAAAATCTTATCATTAAATAATATTTATACATATACAAATTATTTAATTTTTTTCCACTTACCACCGGTTGCTTAGTTTTAGTTACTAAATCTTTTATGTTATAATATTGATGTTTCTCAAATGCTGCAAATATCATTTCTAGAACAACCTCTTTGTCATCTCTAGCCTTCTTGCCTTCTGATTTCTTTCTTTCCTCGTATTCAATCTTTAAAAAAAATTGTTTTATGTTAATTTGATGGAAATATAGAAACAAAATTGTTTCAATTTGAAAATACAACATTGGGAAAACATTTTACTCACATTATGTTTGTGATCAGATACTGGTTTGAAGTTTTGCACTACTTTGTCTAGCTGCTTAACTTGTCTAGTAGGAACTGATGCTTTTCTAATTGACTCTAATTTGAGCTTCATATAACAATTATCAGCTACAATATCCAAGGATAACAAAATCAGATTTAAAAAATCACTATAAATTATGCGCGCGCGCGCGAACACACACACACACACACACACAAATAAATTAATTTAAAGTAAAATTTCACTACAAGAGAACGAAAATCATCAACACATAATCTATATGCACACAGGTTGATTGAAACTGATATGTCATGTCTGGAAGAAAGAAGTAGACAATATAATGTAATAAAATACCTGACCTCACAATCGCACAAAGACAATATTAACTACTGTAAAAATGCACAATTTCAATGCTAAATCATATGATTCATTGAATACCACTTCCACTTAAAAACTTATACAACATTTACAGGATTACAACCATTCTAAGCTTAATTTCTCTTCTTTCTGCTTATGTCAACAATGGTTTAGATTTTATGTCATTAAATGTAAGAAAAATAAAGATGAAATCAACAAAAAATCTTCAAACATTTTATTTTATATCTTTTTATATATCCCAATTTATTAACAAAGGTCAGGCTTGTGCCATTAGATGTACATTAGCAAAGATCCAAAGTCATTGCAAAGTTACCTGTATTTTTGCAGTTGTCAAGAAAAATCGGAGCCAATTGGAAAGAGAAAAAAATTATTGATTGATTTTCCCAAGAATTTGTGTTGAGGTTGTTTAGGTTTACGGGGTGCAAAATATGAAAATCGACTTTTATTTATTTCTTTAAAAAAAATATTAAAAAAATGTTAAATAAAAATAAATAACCCACTTTACAAAGACAAGCTGATTTCACACTTATTTTTCTCACTTATAATGACATAAAAACAAAAGTTTGTTGGCCCAAAGAACGAAATGCAGCTTTCCAATAGTTGTAACGGAATTGACAATGGATAAAATCTATAGGGGTTATGAATATTTAAGTGGATTAAGTGGAGCACTAGACACTGGTGGAGGGGGGGAAATTTGCTATAAAAATTGGTATTTAAGAGTTTTAAAGAGTGTAAATTAATCTGAATTGTCTTTTTCCAAAATAAACGTTTTTGGCCTATTTTACTGATAGTGTCTTTTTGGTTTTATGTATCTCACATAATACTTATATGCCTAACTTTTTATGTATCTAATATCGTTTAATTACATGTAGCCATTACACATAGTAAATAAAGATCTAAACACTTGTAGTTTACTGTAGATGGGTGGTCATTTAAAAGTTATCACCAGAGATTTTCGAGAACAAATCGGAACGAGTTTGGAAGGTGAAAAATTTGACAAGAAAAGAATCAATCAGATTTCATTTTTTTTTTCTCACTTATAACAAGACCAGTAGAACTATTGGGACAAAATGACCGACAAATTAAAAGAACTAAAACAGTCGGTCAAACCGTGGGCCATGGATAGTATGAGCAAAACAGAGAGAATAATGTTGACCCGACTGCGAATAGGCCACACTAGACTGACGCATGGTCATCTCTTGGCGAGAAAAAATCCACGGAGATGCCCATTGTGCGGTGCACAAATAACTGTTAACCGAATGCGAACTATTGGCGTCGCACAGAACAAAGTGTGACCTTTCCTCGAGTTTGAAAGAGGTTTTACAACACAGCAATGACAACAGCAAGAAAGTAATCGAATATATGAAGCAAATATGGCACCCTTCCTGAAGTGAGTGTATTATTGGCGAGAATGTGTGAGTGTAGGGGTGTGTAGTGGTCGGAATATCGAGTACCCCACAGACCCACCAAACTAGGATAGATATCTCTTTGTGTGTTTTGGGTAGAATGAATGTATTTATTGGCGCGAAAGTAAGTGTGTATGGGTGGGTTGTGCAGGAATATCAGGACCCTCCGTTTTAGGTTAGTATTAGGCTATAATATCTTTTAGAGTGAATGGGCGGAGGCACTGTTGTAATATTAAATGTGCCAGTGTTCCGCAATTTTTTTTATTTGTAAATACAGAATGATCGGTTACTGTTTGAGTGAATGTATTTATTAGTGTGATAGTAGTGTATGCATAGGTGGGCCTATGGTGGAATATCAAGTACCCCATAAAGTGAAATTTTTAAGTGAAACATTAGACATCAGTAGAAGAAAAGTCCACCTCCCCATAAAAGTCTATTTTTTACCATAAAAATTTGTTTTTTTTTATAGTGCTTACAAATTTGAATTTTTTTTAAACTACTTTTGGCCTATTTTACTAATAGCAACTTTTCATTTTTGTAACTTTTTTACATATTTGATCTTACTTAATATGATCTTGCATATTATTTTCTTATCCTAGGTAAAACAAAAACATACTTATATAATAACCTTGAACTATTTATTATTTAAATTACTTATTTTTCTTAGAACCTAGGCTTCATTGGCCAAAAAGCTAATAGAGGTGTTCAATATATTTCAACCTAGTATCATCAAAAATTGTTTCAGTAAAATCTGTGTTTCCACGTCCTTTGCCTCCACTCGTATGATGCATAAACTCACCACCAAACATTAGCAACATGATAAAAAATAAATTTAAACTAATATACATGATGTGTACTTATTAAAAAATAAGAAAATGAATTTACAAAGATCTTCTTTGTTTGTTGAAGCTGTTTTCAAATTATTGGCTGGAATGTTGAATGTTAAACAACCAATGTGAGTAAATGCTGTTTATTACCTAACCAGTAGTATAGCCTTGGCACAGGTTTTTTTACACACTAGTTCTTACAGTTCAAAATTCCATCCGATAATAAGGAAATTAAACTTAACATGAGTTGAAACAAAATCCTTTAACAATTATTGGAAACTAAGAACAAGACCTAGATAAAAAATAAAAAATGGCCTATCACTTAAATTTGATAAAAATGTATGTAAGACCAGAGAAAAAAATAAAGTTTGCAAAATACACTTAAACACTGCCTAATTATCAGTTTCAATCAAATGTGTCAAAAATGCATACATTCATAGAGCACATGCACTTCGCTACAATATAGAATACAAATGACATTACCATATGGACGACACTCCAACTTTTGAACAATTTTCCCCTCTAAACTTAATTTTTCATTATCAGGTATGACTGAATCGGGATCCTTTCCTTTAGCTGCTGAAACAATTACTGTATGACACATTTTTCCTTTTAAGAACAAATTGTATAGTGAAAAATAGGTGTTTTTACATTTCCTATATTATAGTAGTTGTGTTGATTATAAAAATTTTCCTTTCTCATTATAAAAGATAGTCAAGAAAACAATTGTTTAATTGCCCAGCTTTTGGCTTAAATTTAATAATAGGAAAAGACGAAGCATGCCAATTTATGAACCTAGGACTAGCAGTACAAAAATAATTTTTTATAATCTATGTACCAGAAAAATATCAGATATAAGTTAAATGCTTTATACAACAAAAGCTTCCTGTTAAGACCCATGCAACCTATAAAAATAAGGCTATATCAATATAATTTATATGGTGAAAAAATGTGATAAGTTAACACAGTCAATATCTTAACTCAAATACTTTTTCTCTTTGATTTTGTGTTAACTGTAATTATATTACTGTATTAATAGAGCAATATTGCCTAAATGAAAGTTATATTATTGGTCCTTCTGATGTATCATGATAAAATTTTAAAAAATTAAATAATTAGGAGTGTGAACAGGATTGTGGCTTACGATTATAGTGAGAAAATACACCGAGAGTCTGTCTGGTAACCAAAGACACATCGAGTCTATGGTCTTTAGGAATGGGCTGTTCTCCTGGTTGTTTTAGGTTCAAAACTGCATCAGACAAAGACAAAGATACTTGTGACCTATGTCCTGAATGACGCGATATTTTAAGCTTTCCTACTTCTACATTTCCTGGTGCTTTCTCCCATCTATTTGAAATATATTTGGGAACCTAAAATAAAAATTTATATTGTTAATTCAAAAGATATACTCAATTTAGTTATCAGAGGCAATAAAATTAAGAAAACAAAGCAATACACCGCAAAGACATGATCAGCATCTGGAAAAACAAAAATATAATAAATGATGATAAAATAATGATCTTCATACTCTTTTGTTTAATAAAATTATTTTCTAACCAAATGGATTGTACCTACTCATGGGATGTTATTGAAAAAATCACACACGCACACACACACACACACACACACACACACACACACACACACACACACACACACACANTACAAGCAGGTGTTACTGCGGAACCCCAATGGCACATTTAATCAGGAAACAGATAAAACTGAATGGAATTAAAACTGGCATTATATGGACCTAATCATACTTGCTAAAACCCTCAAAACATTGATTGGAAAAATTTGAATATAAGGAAAAAGCTAGAACATGCAATGGTGAGAAATATACCAAGAACCTACGATGAATTTAAACATACACTGTGTCAAACCTAGGTACCTAAGTTTCAAAGCTAAGTTAAAGAAGAACAAAAACTGTACAATCATAGAACTGATACGAAGAAAGCATCATGCTGAGCCCAGAGAACTACGTAGTTTGGTCTGCCTACCCTCAATGTGCTTGTTTTTCAATTTCTTATATGGACTGTGTGATTTGTAGCTCTTTTGATGTTTTGATCAGTATCTGAGGAGGAGGCCATCAAAGAAAACTCATAATTGTAGTCAAGCTTTCGGCCTATTTAATGCCTTCATCAGGACTGCAATCTATAATAATCTTTTGTGTTTAGTCGAGTCTCTTTCTATCTAATTTGAGTTCACCATAGAAAGCGTTTCAATGTAAAACAGTTCTTTTCGTATTAAACCCACAATATGGAGCATGAACTGTCAACAATATAGATACCAGCTACTAACCTCCAGTTGGAAAGAGAAGTTGATTCCACATGTTGCCTGGTGTGAAACCAACCTAGAAAAGCCTTCAACCAAATTGCCACATCTAAAAGAAGCCTAAGTCCTTTACCAGATCCCAAAGGTTTTTCATGGACTTCCGTGTTAACCATGAGACCAGGCTTTTTCTCTCCCAGTACTAATCTTAGCCTATGTAAGCCTTCATACAACATATTCCACTATCACTTCTTCTACATTCCCTTAAAACCAAGGCCTTATCCATTTTCTGATGGATCTACGTTTTTGGCAGTTTGGTATAATACAAAAGAGCTCAGGGCCAATAAGTGTCCTCACTGAACTTTCCTTAGCTAATTTTTCGGTCTCTCCATTGCCTCCCTGCCATGTGTGCCCTAATACTGAGGGTGAGCAATATTTCATAGATTTTTGGGATTAACGAAACGATACTTATAGGTCTGTAGGTTATTATTTCTGTTTTGTAATGACTATGATTTTTTTATTTATTAAGGTTGCCATTCAAGTTCCACTGATCACAGTATGATTAGCATGATAATGTACTTTTGAATGCCTACTGCAGTGTTTGTCAAGCATCACAAACTATTTTAAGAGTGCAACATTGAACAGATCCTCAGGAATTTGAAGCAGTTATGGGACATTTACTTTCATTTCATTTACTATTTCGCTCAAAGCTGCACTATGAATATCACGAATTTGATACGTCGGAAGGAAATTGTTCTGCAAACACTCTTGCTTCCTACATACGTAGACAAACTTTGCAATTTCTTCAATTGTCATCTTAACGATTTTTCTTTCTGGATTTTTCTCCAGCCATAATTTTAAAAAATTAACAGAACAAAAAACAGATTTGTTGTTTCATGAGGCAATCATCAAAATTCAACACGTGTTTACACCGGAGTTGGGCAAATTCCAATCCATTAACGATTAACGTTTAACCATTAATGGTAAACTGATAAATGATTAAACAGGAAAACCATGAATCTATATTAACTGATTAATCACATTAATCATAAATCTAACTTGATTAAATTAATCTAGATTAACAATTGATTAATTGTTCACATTACTGCATTAGAGTTGTTATCAGATCATTTTGTATTAAGCTATGATCTGAAAATAATGAATCTAATAATTTGCAGCTTTAATTTTATTAGTGTTTTCGATTTCCGAATGTAATTTTTCACTATCGAATTACACACAAAAACACCATTCTTGCCAAATTTGCTTTGATAAGATTGATAGCTGTTGAATAATGAAATATCACTGTTTAGATAATGACTGGGATAGTTTTTTATGGCAATTGTAAATGAAACACTGATAATGGAAAACTCGATGTAATATTTCTTAAATAAAACTAAAATGACCGTTGGTAGTTATTCGGGGGGGGGGGGGGGGTGCCAAAAAATAAGGTGAGAAAATCGGGGTGAAAACTGTCAGTGTATAAATATGCCCCAAAAAAAATCGTTTAAATCATTTTATCTGATTAACATTTAAAGATTAATTTAATCAAACTTGATTAACAATTAACATTTTTAATTGTTAATAGTCTGATGATTAATTAATTATTAATCATGATTAAAATTTCAATCGATTACGCCCAACTCTGGTTTACACAGTGCAAGCAGCCAGGCAGTAGAGTAATAAATCACACATTACTGTTTCACTGGCAATGCTAGTGAATGCTGGTACTGACAGTTGCAAGCAACAAGGTGTTTACATCTTGTCAGACTGTAAGATCAACTGGCTCTCTTATTGGCAACGTGTAAATCTTATGTATTCGGCAGTTTGGTTCGCCGCAAAAGGATCGCATTCAATAACACAATAGAAAACCTCTCAAGAATAACATTTTCCTTACAATCCTTACAATTCGAAAGGTTGTAGGTTGAGATGGAGAGTTGGTGTCCGAGTGGATCAAAGTCACGATAGATAGCTCGTGTTCAAATCTCGCTCTTGACACTAACATTTTCATCTCAACCAAAGCCTTACATAAAAAGAATAATTAATTGAAATACGTAATTTGTTCAATTAGACCACTAAACATAAATGGATTAATATTTTCCTTACATTTGAATAACAACATTTCAGAAATATCTGTTTAAAAATGATACATGATGAGGTTTCGTCCGATTGAAGGGAGGGGTTGGGTGACTTTACTATGAACAAGTGCAGCCCGTTTAAGAAATCAAACAGAAGGGTTAAATTTTTCTTTTTAAAGTCTTCCTGAAACCAATCTTTTTATAAATTGTAAAATGCGATGTATCAACTGAATGCGTTATTAAAATAAAAACCTATTCCACTTGGCTAAAGGGTAAAATTTGTAAACATCATCCAAGGTCGATGTCTGAATTCGTATTGGGAACTAAGCCATCGCATTTTATCTAGTTTTAATTCCGTTTTGACCATTCGACAGAAAAGAGCGAGACAATTTAAAATTTTAAGAAAAAACAAAAAATAATGTTTGAAAGGATTTAAGCGAAAAATAAAATATATACCTTCACAAGCCATACGCCTCGTCCAGAATTGAGTAAATCTAAATCACAATCTGTATGTTTATGATTCGAAGACATGTCGATGGATCCTTTGAAATGAAAATAATTTTGTTTTTGTTTTTTAACTATTTGACTAAAAAATAATATCAAGGATAAGCAAAGGATGATTCACGAAGAAGATCGACCGTCCAGTATAGGTAGACTAGAAATGAATGGTGAAAGTGAAACCTTCTCGAAAACGGGTCGAGACACGTTCGTCGACTGTCAGCTGTCCATTTCCTTTCACGGCCGGCCTTTCATCCTGTCGTTTCGAGGGTTACAAAGGAGGAAGGTTATTCTGGAAGGACAATAGACAAAATGAGCCCGCCTTGATTGAACGGCTCTTCTGCCAATTGATGACGTCATTATTTCCGTTTCTGTAGCAGAGGCCATATCAACCTCGGGAGAAACGTTAAAATCAGAAAGATAGAAACGTAAGAAATACAGCCTAAGTGTTGAGGGCTGCCAATGACCAATGAATTTGCCAGCCCTAAAAATAAATAATTAATAAAATTAATAATAAGTAATAATGAAAAAAGTAAATAAAATAAAATTAAGCAGAATCTTTAAGAACGTATAGTATTTTTCACACAAACTTTTCAATCAATTTAATAATCGTCTCAACTAATTTAATAATAATTTCATTTAATAATCTCATCAATTAAGTTAATAATCGTCCCTTTCGAGATACTAGACAAGAAACTCACATGGAATTCACATTTGGCTGAAACCTTGCAGAGACAAAATTGCTTGGGTGAGGTGCAGAAGGCTCTGTGCCAAAAATTGGGGGTTAAACCCCAAAATGACTTTATGGCTATAATGTTGACATATGGGTAAGTGATGTGGTGGGCCAAGACTCTGCAGGCCAAAGTAATCCAGCTATTAAGTGGCACGCATCCAAAGACCAGCTTGTCTCAGTGTGTCACTGGAGCCTTGAAGACAATGCCAATTGCAGCCCTGGAGTTGTTGTCAAATTTGCTGCCACTTCATGTCTTAATCCCAGGGAGAAGCCAGAGTAACAGCACAGGGGCTTATAAATGGACAAACATTTGCAAGAATAGGCCATGGATTAAACAATGAAAATTGAGGGAGGAGAAACAGGCTGATGACACATTAGGCATGCCAATCGATGCAACTACTCCAAAATACAATTTTACTAAAAGGTACAAGGTACTGATACCAAGATGGGAAGAATGGGTCAAAAGAACACCGCTAAAGGCAAACTCCTACTGGCTCCAAAACTTACAAGGGCACAGGGGCTGGAGTCTTTGGGATGAATCCAAAGACAGAATTAACGGTAAACCTAGGTAAATATGCAACAGTTTTCCAGTCTGAAATCATAGCAATTGAACAATGCGCCAGAGAAATAAAAAGGCTAGGAATTCCCAAAAGATAGCCATCTTCCCTAATAGTCAGGCATCACTAAAGGCCTCATGCGAGGTAAAGGCCCTGACAGAAGTCAGGGACACTAATGACCTGACCCTGGCATTGGTCCCTGGGCATCCAGGGCATAGAGTCAATGAAAAGGTTGACATGTTGGCCAAATTGGACTTTCTAGGTCCTAAATCCTACTGAGGCTTAGCATTTTGTCATGAAAGAGGATACATCTTAAAATGGATCCTTGATGAGTCCAAAACCTAGTGGAACAATAAATAACACAGGTATGAGGTATGCAAAGAGATTCATAGAAGAGACATTCGCAAAACTTACAAAGGAATTACTGGAAGGCAATAGCAACCGAAGCCAGATTCTAGTTGGGACTGTTCACCAACTCTAAACCCTGCAGAGTATTCTTTCTCCAAGCAGTGAGGACCCTGTTAGCTGAAGCCAAAAGAACCACAACTCAAGTGAAATAATAAGCTGTAGTGTCAATTCCATTTTGGACACTGACTGCCCTTTTGAAGCTACCAACAGCTGCCACTCCATTAATTGATGCTAAAATTATCATTTTTTTCAAAAAAAATTATTTTTTGATGAAATAATTTTATAAATAAAGGTTTTTCCAACTACTAGCTCGTATTTATTTTCTCCCTTGACTATAAAATCCCAAAAGGACTATTATTAAATTAGTTGAGGCGATTATTAATTTGAATGAAATGATTAATAATTGGTTGAGACAATTATTAAACTGGTTGAAAAAAATTATTAATTTGACTGAAATATGCTATATTTAAATTACAGCAAAGTAGAAATCTTTTCATTCTCACTAATTATTATTATTATTATTATTGTTATGACAAGTTTATAGCTTTTTCTGTCAAATTAGCCCTTTGAAGAATCTGATCTAGTGAACTGAGCCAACTCCCTCTTCCAAAGACTATATCTGATTTATTAATGTCTACTGCAATGTTTGACAGCAAGACAACGTTGCCTGTGTAGTTAACTCCATGATGTTGGACAATTAATTATTAATTTATCGTCTGATGGATCCAATGCCTGATTTACACATTGCCAGAATGCCAGTTGAAGTACTTAATCGCAATGCCAGATCTGGCAACGTCAGGGGCAGGCAATAGCTGTTTACTTGGCACTTTTTAACTAGTGCCAGCTACTGACACAACTTGTTGGCAAAATATTTCTTTCACAAGTTGTATTATTATTATTATGAGTTTATGGCTTTTTCTGTGAATTAATCCTTTGTAATTTAAAATTAGCCTTTTTTCAAACCAAATTAATATTTTTTTAACTTCAAAATAACTTTTTTTAATTTCAAATTAATCCTTTTTGGCTTCAAATTAACCATTTTTAATGTCAAATTAACCTTTTAAAAAACTCTAGGAGGCAGTATGTAATGTAACTATGTAGAGTAAAATTCCTACATATTTAGCATTGCATAATCTTCAGTTTGGAACTACAACTCTGTGCCAGTTCAACAAGTGTTCAGTAACTCACAGGCCAACACATACCACCAATTTTACAAATTGCCATAAACGGTGGCTAAAACAGTCATACCATAAATAATAAAAGTAGTAAATTAAACAAAAGTTATTTTTTCATTGCATACACATTTGCAAATAATAATAGTGACAGAAAAATTAATTTAGTCACTACGAGAAGAAAGTTTTCAATTGAAACTAGTTATCAAGAGAAAAATTTCTTATATATAGTCAAAATTATCGACTGATATAATTGATCTGTAAGTGACATAAAAAATTAAATTGCTGCTTTAAATTTGTTTATTTATATAAACAGAAAGAACCAATGAAGTGATGATGCAGTGATACAACAAAAATGATTACAAGTGGTTACATGATAAATAATGCAATATTAACAAGTTTTAAAAAATTTTAGACAAGGAATATATATATTTCAATTAATAATTTCAATGATCAGTTATTTGCTTTGCAGAGTAATAAAATAAAGATGTTTACTCTTAAAAAAGTAAAACTAATTTCCCCTTCTTCTGATTGAAAATTAAAAAAAAATTATATATGTACAATTTGTTATATACACAAGGCATTAAATTGCCTGACAAAACACAAATTAACTAAGGAGTGTAAAAGAGTGATCCGTTTAATATATACATAAAAATTAGAAATTTTTCATGGTACATGGTTGACTCTGGAAAGAAAAAATGAAACTGAAAAGTTTCTCTTTTGTATTTGTGAAATTTAATTTTAATATCTGACAAACGAAACACCAGATCATTAAAATATAAATTTAAAAAATGGATAAAAATTGAATTATTACATACATAATTAATTATTAGAAAAAAAAATTCTTTGAATATAACAAAACATATTGCCACAATTGGCGATTGCTAAATAACGATTATTGAACCATTGATAAGTAATGCAAAATTTGAAAAACAAAGCATTACGATTTTACAAAGATCAACAGGCTTAAAAAAAAAAAAAAACATTTTGCATTGTATAACAATTTTTGAGGAGTACTATAAATTATATTTTTAACAAACAAAACTATTTTATGAATAAAAAAAGTTAGTAAAAAAAAACTTGCATCATTTAAGTCATCGGTTCATTTCAGAGACATTACAGTTATCCTTTTTATTCATTTTTCTCTTCTGTGGCCAAAGGGATTTCCAGTATTCTTGGTCCATAAAGAAGAACGTATGCACAATGCCAGTCCCCTGAAATAAAAAAAATTACATACAATAAGCAAAAAAAAGCTCATTAACAAATTAAATGATAACCTTATAATTATAAGAATAAATTTAGAATATTATACTCTGGCCACTGAATCTTGGTGCCCACCAGATGGACAGAAAGGAACTTTGACACCCTTGCTCTACTACCCCCTCCTACTTTCAATGGTTCAACCTTCTCTCTTTATACTTCAGTTCTCCATTTACTCTCAACTGCTGTTTTCTTCTTATTTTTGGTCATTTATTTGTTTGATGTAGCTATTGGGTTGTCCGGAAAATAATGCAGGATTTTAAGTTTTCATTTAAAAAAATCTATATAAAATATTCTGTTTACGTTTACAGGATTACTCATTTGTATGAATGTCAACACTTATTAATCCTCTTCCAAATGATATTGTTTGTTTACCTCTGTAGCATTCCGCTACTTGGAAATAATTCAGTCATCCTTATAATGTCAAAGCGAGAATTTCGTACGATTTTCTTTTACGAGTTTAAACTCGGCCGAAGCGGAGCCCAAACGGCTAGAAACATTAACCAAGTCTGGGGCGAGGGTTGTGTTAATGAGTGCACTGTGCAAAGGTGGTTTAAAAAATTTCGGGAGGGAGATTTCAGCCTTGAAGATGAAGAAGGTCGTGGAAGGCCTTCCTCTCCTAATGATGATGTTCTGCGATCAGTGGTGGAAGAAAACCCCAAAACAACTGTTCGAGAACTTGCAGAGCAACTCAAAGTCAGTAAAACGACCGTCGCTGACCACCTCAAGGCGATTGGAAAAGTGAAAAAACTCGAAAATTGGGTTCCACACTCATTAAACGATCGCCAAAAAAATCAGCGCTTTGATGTTTGTGCATCACTTCTTTGTCGAAACAAAAATGACCCATTTCTGGCCAGAATTGTTACATGTGACGAAAAGTGGATTCTCTACGATAACACTAGACGTTCTGGACAGTGGCTCGACAAAGGAGAAGCTCCAAAGCCCCCAACTCATCAAAAAAAGGTAATGGTTACGGTATGGTGGGCTTCATTTGGTTTAATACACTACAGCTTCTTAAATCCTGGCGAAACCATCAATGCTGAATCATACTGTAACCAAATTAATACCATGCATCAGAAATTGGCAGTAATGAAGCCCTCTTTGGTCAATCGGAAAGGGCCCATTTTGTTGCATGACAACGCTCGACCACATGTGTCACGTGTAACGTCACAAAAATTATTGGAGCTTGGCTATGAAACTTTGCCTCACCCACCCTACTCTCCGGACCTCTCGCCTACTGACTACCATTTTTTTAGACACCTGGACCACTACTTACAACACATAATATTCAAAAATCAAACGGAACTGGAAAATGCATTTATTGACTTTATCAATTCTAAAAATTCTGAATTCTACTCAGACGGAATTAATAAGTTACCAACACGTTGGGAGAAATGTATTGAGAGTATGGGAAATTATTTTGATTAAAGAACATTGCTTTAAAGTAACTAGTTTCTTTTTTTTTTGTTTAATACCAAAATCCTGCATTATTTTCCGGACAACCCAATACATAGTGATTAAATAAAAAAATAAACAACCACAGCACCTAGCACAAATTATATTAAATAATAAAGTTTGAAGTATCCAATAAGTATTTTTATTACTGGAACCCAACTAATACATGTATAAAGTTTTCCACAGTTCACTTGACCCTTAAATCCAACAAACCACATTACTTTTTAATGAAAAAAAAATCTGTAAGCAATCTTCTAATATAATCCTTGTTTCTCAATTTGGATTTAGGTCTCGCCTGTCCACTGTTAAACAGTATCGTTGATGTCAAACAAGCTTTAGATCAAGTCTGGCAACTGGGTTTGTTATGAAACTCAAGGGCAATACCCTCTATATACTTCCTCATCCTTAAGGAGTACTTTAGAGTAAGGGTCAGATATTTCTTCTACTTTGTAAAAGAGGGACGTGAGTGTACCTTAGGGTAGTATCCTTGGTGCGTTAGTGTGTACTCAGTATTGCTGATATCCATTTCCTACCATTACCCTAACATATGATGGCACTGACATTCCATCCTCCAATGGTTCAAAAAATGGCGTCAAACTGGACCCCACACAATCCCAAAACACTTCATCCTCTGGCGCATTACTGTATCCCAATCTATTATATCCTCATCCCTCTTCCTACTAAAAATATCATCCGCTGCCTTGGGCTGAATCAAGACAAATGCGTGATCTGAACTTCCCATACATGAGTTAAATGCACACAACTGAGCCAATGATACTGATTACTTAAAAGACAACCCAACAGAAATAAATTCTCCCTTGATGGCATAATTATATATATAACTCATTGCTTAAACCAAATGGATATGGCATAAAACTACAGGGTTTTTACCAAACCTTTTAATAGAACCTATAGAATCCAGAGCCTAAAATCACGAATATCTTTGACTTGTTTCCAACTGCACCATTCGTAACAACCTAAATCTTCCCCTGAATCAAGCTACAAAAAAAAAAATCCTCCCTAACCTCCAATCCTACCCCAATCCACAAGTAACAACTTTCCACCTGATCTCTTCCCAATACTCCACCTCTACATCTAAAAAGACATTTGTCCCATGATCAGCACTGAGAGAGTAGCTGATTAACAGTTAATTATTATTTAAATGTTATTATTTTAACTTGCTGTGAAAAGGATGTCTCACCAGACACCTCCCTGCAGTTTAGAAGAAAAACTGCATGCAATGATATACTGTATTATTTAAAGTTTGTATAGCTTTTTGCTAAAGCTAACTCATCCTCTCATACCTATTATATTATTACCAACCTGGTCGGTACTAATATAAATTATGTAATAAGGTTAAAATTATGTAATAAGGTTAAAATTATGTACGAAGGATCCCATTTACAGCAATTATGTAAGTACTGGACCTAACAGGAGAAAAAAAATCAAATATCACAAAAGCATTCAATTTATAATCACCTCCTCCACAAAGCTTTAGAACCTCTTCTTCCGTCACTGGTGTGACAACATCATCATCACATTTTACCCAAGTGTTGTTTGAATGCCGAACCCAAGCCACATAATGGCCACTAGAACTTGACCTTCCTCGATGTGTCAGAACTGCTTGTAACCTGTAGTATCCGGAATTATTTGAGCCTAAGTCTAAAAATGAAAATAAATACATTTTAAATATGCAATAGGGGGAAAACACATATGCATAATTTAAAAAAAGATAACTTATAATAAACTCTCACAAAAAATGCTCCAATTTTGTTTAACATATAAAAATATAAATTTTATAACATAAAAAATGTAGGTGTTTATACACACGTTAAGAGCCAATTACTATACTAGCAGAAATAACTACATGTAATTGTAAAAAAAGACACAAGAAAATTTAACCTGAAAGATTTTTTAACCCCTTGCAGGGAACAAATATGCATATTTACGCTAAGAATAGTCCATTGAACAAAAAATCAAGAGACTATGTGCAAATATCATAATAAGGCTAAGTAATTATGATGCATCTACGTTCACAATTAGTTAAAAATTAGGACCAAAACTTAAAAAAAATTATCATAAAATAGTTACAATTTTTTATATAGAAATATTTTTTTATTAATATTGATCTAGTTTTGTCAAATAATCCATTAGAATTTGAATTTACTATTTGCTTAATTAAAATTTATATTACTGTTTTGCTAAATGTCTCAAGCAAGGATGGGCATTTAGATTGAGAAACATTTATTCTGGAATATAAAAAAATCGCTGGCACTAACCAAAATCAAATGAGAAGGGAACTTTTTCAACATTTTTTTCATCTGTTGATGATGTTTGGCCAGATAATGATGAATAAGAGGAGAGAGATGATGCACCAGAGAGATGTTTAGATTTGATATTACTTTCGACTTCCTTATCCTCTTGTTCCTAAAATTTAGATCACATTGTTTATCTTCACACTCTAATAAGATAATAACACAAATTTTGAGTGTATAACGCTGTTTTACAAGAATTTTAGTATATATTTCTGGAAATTATACTTTACTTCTGGAAATTATAGGGTTAGAAACCAAATAAATTTAAAAAAACAATTCCAAATTTAAAATATATATATATATAAATGGTGTATAAGTGTATTTAATTCCAAAGGGTGCAAGAGTTAATATTATTCCAGCCGTGTACAAACAAATTACACATGATTGCAATTATTTAAATGAGTTTTAAACTTGCCTTAAAACGCTCTCTCATCGGTGTTAACTTGGCTTGCAATTCTGGAGTGCACAAATCAAACGCATCAAAGTCAATTGGAAATTTGACTTCTTTCAGAATTTTCGCATTCACAGATTCCTTTTCTTTATAATAAAAGCGTACAAACTGTACAGTCAAATATGCTGGGAGTCTACTAATTTTGGACTGTAAATTTAAAAAATTAATTAACGGAAAGAACAATGCATTGTACATGTCATATGGATTGTATAGTAAGCATACCATTTTTGTATATACTGCATCTCTGTTTAAAACAGCAGAATGTTTGGTTATATTTTCCATCAGTTTCTGTACGAAAAAAATTCNAGATATATAGAGAGAGAGAGAGAGAGAGAGAGAGAGAGAGAGAGAGAAAGAAAGAGAGTCAAGAGTTTATGTTTTCATAGAAGTTTTTGTAATTAATTTATTTGTAGCCTGTATATATCAAAATAATATGTACATGTTGTTTTTTCTCACGGTCATAACATTAACACTACATATGGAGAAACCAACCAACACTCGCACTCAATATGAGGAATCAAGGGGTGAGGAGGTTTCAGAACATTGTTACTTAAGGATGGGAAAGTGTTCATAAGGCTTGGGCAGTAGGACTAAGATAGATCGCCTGGTGTAGAAATTTGGAATCAGTAACGGATCAGTTTGTTGACAAAGGAAATGTAGAGGTAGTTGTGGATAGTTAGAAGTTAGTTGACATATAAGGACCTTTTACAATTTGTTTGAAGACTTTTGTTTGGAAGGATTGGATGCACTGGATGTTGGATGGAGTTTTGTACAGTTTTAGTTAAGTTTAGACAGTCCAAACAAATTTCAATTTTAAAAGTCGGCATAGTTATCCAAGTCTTTTATCATGATGTTGTCTTTTAATGTTTTGTGTTGATTGTAAGTCAGTCTGCTGTCTAGCCATAGTCCATAGCATATGTGATGAGCAGAAATCGCGAAATCTTTGTATTTGACACATTGAAATTGAAGAGAAAGTTTTTTTTTTTTTTTCAATGTAATTGTACACTGTGTATATTTTTCCGCATTCAGACCTCCATTTTTTGCACCAGTCTTTGGTAAACTCAAGGTGTCCTTGGAATCTGGAGGTTGCTTGGATAGGATTTCTGGTTAAAGACAGAATTACTGTGTCATACACATAGGAGGAAATGATGGCATTGGAATGTAGAGTTAAGTATAGGTTATAAGTAAATGGAATACAGGATGGGATCAAGAATGCTCCCTTGTAAGACACCAGTTAGTCTGATATCTGAGCACTCATTGGCTTACCTCACTCTCAAGCAGCTCAATCAGCATAGGATTCCAGGATAAGGTGATAAACGGTAGGAAGCGTTTAAGGATGCCAGACCCTATCAAAAGCCTGGGCCATATCCAGAAATGCACCCAAGCATGAATAGTAAAGCTATATATTTAATGTATCATTCAAAATCTACTTTTAAAAAAATATTTACTCACTGATTTAAGGCCTGAATGCATGTATTTAACATCTTGTGAAATAAAACAACTGAGTTGAAGAAAAGCTTCTTCAGTTTTTGTAGGTGGCTCATCTTCTGTTTCTGTGCATTTATACTGAACTTCAAAGACACCGCCAAAGTACTGGTCTATAAAATGCCTGTAAATATGACACAAAATTGTATTGAACTGAGATTACTGTGATACTGCAATAAACAAAATGAAAAACGTTCCTTATAAAATTTAAATTATATCAATCGACAATTTCCAACACTTACTTAAATTTTGTCATTACTCCTTCCAAATAAATGCCTGGCAACTTTTGCTGGAGCATTCTGACAATTTCTGTCCAACATTCGTTTGCATCCTTGAAAGTAAAAAAAAAAAGAAGGAATATGTGATTAAAAGTACACGTACACAATGTGGTTAAAACCAAAGAGTACTGTAAATTACCTGCTGTACAAATGTCCCATTGTCATTTTTATCAGCGAACCTGGGAAATACCATTTGTAAAACTTGTAACAGCATTATAGGGGGGAAAGCAACACCCTTATCCATAAGTTCATACAAATCTCTAAGAGCTGCTGTTACAGAGTGTGCTGAAATAACTCCACCAGCTATGCCTGGAATAAATTTTTGAAGTTTAAAATAATAAAATACGCATTAGCGCAAATATTTTATATTGTTGTGAATCAGCAAAAAAACAACCTAAGCATCCAAAGCCATTTTACAAAATATATTCTCATCAAATATTAGTGACAATATTAATTTGAAAGCTGTGGGGGCTTTACGATGAATTAAGAAACACTTCAATATAAACTTGTTTTTGGAAGGCTGCACGGAAGCATATAAGTACATTAATAGCGTTTTCCCAACAAATTAACCCCTTTTATTTTCAAATATTTTTTAAATTTCAAATTAACCCTTTTTAATTTCAAATATTCCCTTTTTAAATTTCATATTAGCCCTATTTAATTTCAAATAAAACTGTTTTTACTTCAAATTAGCCCTTTTTAATTTCGAATAAACCTTTTGTTTACTTCAAATTAACCCTTTTTAACTTCAAATTAACCCTTTTTAATTTCAAATTAACCCCTTTTAATTTCAAAATACCATTTTGAAAAACAGGAATTAAAAAAGTAATTATATCGTTGAAAAGGTTATTAAATGGACAATTTTTTGAAAAATTTGTTGCTTCTTTGGTTCACAAATTTAAAAAACCTTGAATTTCTTCCAAATTTAGAAAATCAATTTTTTTGTACGTTTCAAGCAACACGAAAAACTTTTGTGGGTATGACAAAGATTGTGTCCTGTAGGAAATATAATGTAGATTTCAACCATGTCCTTGAATTGTTAGTTGCAATTGCAGTTTCGGTTTTATTGCTGTTTTTCCTTAGTAAAGTCATGAAATCCTGGAACAAACGAAAAAGTGAAATTTCTCCCTTACAGTTGATGATCGGACCATTCTAGAGGAGAACAATTTTGTCCCTCTGGAAGTCAGAATTCATTGGCAAAGTTTGTGACGCGATAGCTTGCTACCCTGTATAATTTTAAATTTTAATTTAATTTGTTTTCATATGGTCTTCTTAAATGGTAATTATTTTATATACATTTTATTCAAATGCAGGAACTTTATGTGCTTACATTTTATAACATCTCCTAACTTTTTTTTAATGCTTTAAAGGAGGGGTTAATTTGAAGTTATAAATAATGTATTTGCAGCTAAAAAAGGTTAATTTGATGCGAACTAGTGTTAGTTTGAAGTTATAGGGTTAATGTGAAATTGAATTTCTTGGCTCAATATTTATTTATATATTGTGTATTCATATGCTTATATATTTATTTTGAATGTTTATTGACAATTCTCATCCATCATTTCTAGATTGCTGAGATGTTTAACCTGGCCAAATATAAATTTTCAAAAATAAAATTCTCAATAGAGACACATCCATACTGTGAAAAACCTAACCAACTAACCTCCTTTAAATGCCCGAAGTGATTCTCGTAATTCAGGTACTGTCTTAAGACACTGAACTGTTGCGTTCATGTAGCAAGTGTTGCCTAAATTTGCCAACCCAGCTGGCAAATTGGACTGAAATGTTTGAAAAATAATTTACAAAAAGACATTGAGGTATACTTGAAAAATAATCTATGACGATAATTCTAAAGTACTTACCACAGTTGCAAGTTCCGTTTCATTCATATCTTCAACAAATCGTGGTTTTACCTGTGGTTCGACAGGTACATCTTCCTCTTTGCTGCCCATAAGAAGGATAGTCGAGTTCTAAACATAACAGAAAATTGCAACGGCTTACTATTTGCCTAAATAATTGTTAAAATTTCACATCGACGTGTATATTATTAATAAAATATTTAAATATGTGAATATTTACATTAGAAACTGCAGCATTTCCCCATGAGTTATCTTTAATTGTTGCGCCTTTAATCATTACTTTTTGTCTCTCTGGTTGGACCCCAGTAAGAGTGAACAACTGGGCCTTAAAAACCAAAGGATCTTCATCTGTATTTAACTCTACATCAGGAAATAGATTCCTACCCCATTTCACTTTCACTGAAAACAAAACAATAAAATATTACAATTAGGTATTATTATTACAATTAATAAAACATCAGATTTTATATGCAAATATTGTAACTTAAAATGCATTTCTTTGGCAAATTATGACAATCATATTTATAAAATCTTTCTTACAATATGTACACACAATTCTTCTGTGCAGTCATGGATCTAAGATGGACCCACGAATTTATCTTATCGATGAACAAGTAGTTAATTCATTTCCAATCATTTTGATCTCGATAGGCAGATATTGTGGATGGACGTGGCCAAGTGGTTGGGCACAGTCATATTAGCAAGTTTGAACATAGACATTGGAATTTTATTTGATTTTAATTTGAATAAAGTATTGTTAAACAGTTTTGATCCCTATCTAGTACTGCCACCCCAAACGGGTAGTTGGACATTAAGCACCTCGGTATGATAGTAATTACTTTACTTTCAACTGACATTTTCTGCTTCTTACAGACCAAACTAAAAAGCTTGATGTTTAGGCAATATTTACAATTGCACTGATAAAAAACCAACATTTGAAAGTCAAACCCTATTTATGCATACAGTTGGTCAACATTCATAACATTGAATCTCTTTTTTTTTTTTTTACGGTTTCAGGCTAGTATCAGGATACAGAAACACCTTGATCACTAAAAACGAAATGATACCACAAAAGTTAAATCAAATTTCTATTTTAAATGTATGCAAGAAATTAAAACTCAGTCAACTTATATAATATAATAATAATTTTTTTATAACATTATTACATAAAACAAATAAAATTAAACATTGTAAAAGAGGGTCGTCTAAGAAAAAATTGCTGATTCCTATTTCTGCAGTTTTTTTTACCCCAATCAAATAGACTCGTTAGATGCATTTTGCCTTTTCAATATCTTCTGTGGTGTATCTGATTATTTTCTGAAAAGTTAAACTTATGGTGCATCTTGTAAAATATAAGTTGATGTTTGACATTCTGAGTTTTTGCTCTTTATTAGTTTAGATTTTTGCCTTGTTCAATAAATTTTTTTAAGTTGATTTTTCACACAGCGGGTTCCTGATATTTTCAGAGAAATTTTGTGGGAACTGACTAAAAACTAACACTAACAAACTTCCGAACTGGAGTTACAATTATCATAGTACACATCAGTTTTAACTGCAGTGCAAAAAATTTACTAGTAGCGGATTATAGCAGGAGCTACCCCAAGGCCAATGTATGTACACAAATGGATCTCTTTCATTTGAACTAAAGTGCTCTAACTGAAAGTAATTTAGACCACTATCAATTTTTCTCTTTTTGGAAATGGTAACACATTTTAAAGAATTTCTTGATAAACTAAATGAGGTTCACGCTAATAGGCAAAAATAATCAAAACTCTTGATTCTAAAATGACTGATTATCATGCAAAGCTAGAAAGTTATATTAAGAAAATTGATCATTTTGAATCTAAATTTTCAGGACTGGAAGAAGAAATAAAAAAAGACTAGGTCTTTAACTAATCATTTACACTGAGTTAATAGAGAAATCTTAAATGTTTTCAATGTACATAACTGGAAATAAAATTGTACAAGTGTTTGAAAAAACTATTATTAAGCTCTTTAAAAATGATTTAAAAGTTTAAGTAGGAAATAATAATATTGACAGAATAAATAGAATTGGAAGAAATAAAGCTGCTACAAGTAGACAAGTGTTGGTGAAATTTTTAGTCTACCGAAAAAAATAGAGGGTTTTGGATAATTTTACATATCTTAAAAATCCTACAATGAAAATTGATCAAGAATATAATTTTGCGGTTAGGATGATTAGGAGACAGTTGATACCTTTTAAGAATAGAACCAGGAACTTACAGTTCAGAGCTTATTTAAGATATTAAAAATTATTAATAAATGGTGAACACTGGAAAAACTTCAGATTTTGGATGGAGACGATATATTAATCACTGGTTCTCTACTATTGACAACTGAAATTGAAGACTCTGATAGGGAGATGGAAACAACTCAGAAGATAGAAGAGGAAAGTACAAAGAAGAATAGGGCTGGTGCTAAGAAGGAACCAGATACAAACAGAAGATGGGAAGCAGCAGAAAATATTAAGCTGGTTGAACAAGACATCTCGTAGAATCTGCACCTGCATCAGCACAAAAACAGATGTGTTCTGTGGCCTCCTATTCTCCCTGGCAATACCTGCAGTGTTTTTTCTGCCTGTATTCCTATCCGGTGAATGTGCCTTCTTAGGCCCTGTCAGGAGGCCAACCAGAATCCAAGTTCTGTTCTGGTTGCCCTACAGTAATTCCTTTTTGAGTCTTATGGACGGCCCTTCTAATCTCTTCACATGATTCATGCCTGGGGTATTGTTCCTCCATGTTTTGTACTAATTAAGGATCCATTTTTGTGGCAATATGCTAGGCCACAGTAGGGTTCAGGGCCAACAGAATTCATATTAGCCAACATGTTCAATTTTACATTGCCTGTATGTCCCGAATGCCCAGGACCCATGCCAGGGTCAGGTCATTGGTGTCACTGACTTCTGCCAGGGCTTCCATACAATTCCATAAATGTTTTGCCTTTACCTCGCATGACACTAAGGCCTTAAGTGCTGCCTAACTGTCCAAGAAGATGGATATGTTTCGGAAACATGTTCCTAGCCTTTTTATTTCTCCGGTGCAGTGTACAATTGCTATAATTTTAGACTGAAAAACTATAGCACATTTACCTAAGTTTAAAGTCAGTTCAGCCTTTGGATTCATCCCGAGGACTCCAGCACCCTGCTTTTATCAGTTTTTGAGCTGCAGGTATACCAATAGGAGTTGGCCTTCAGAGGTGCTTCTTTGGCCCACTGTTCCCTTTCTGGTATAAGTTTACCTTCTCCTGTTGGCGAAGTTATATTTTGGAATAGTGGTATCGATTGGTATGCCTAGTATGGCATCTGCCTCTATCCCCTCCCTCAGTTTCCATTATTCGTTGACATGACCTTTGCAGATGGTTATCCATTTATGAACCTGTGAGAGGCACTGCTCTGGCTTCTCCTTGGTTTAAAATATGGAGAGGTGAAAGGTTTAACAACGCCTCCAAGGCCGCAGTTGACGTTTTATTCGTGGCTCCAATGACAGAGGCAAGCTTGTCTTTGAGTGTCACTTAGAAGCATGATCGCCTCGGCCTGCAAAGTCTTGGTCCACCACACCACTGACCTATAAGTCAACATTGGTCTCATGACACAGATGTAGAGCCAAAGGGTCATTTTGGGGTTTCATACCCAGCTTTTAGAACAGCTTCTGCACCTCCCCCAGTCAATTTTGGCTCTCTGAAAAGTTTTAATTAAATTTGTATTCCATGTGAGCCATTGGTCTAGTGTGACTCCTAGATATTTGGCTTCCTTGGAGAATGGAATAAGTGTCCCATTTAAGTTTGGAATTTTTTGGTTTCCCATCGCATCTTCCTTGAAAACGGAATCGTTAAGGTTCTATGGGGGTTAATAGATGGATCCTTCTGTTTATATCACCTATCTACCAGGCTCGTTGCGCATGATCCACGACATCTCCATGTTGGCCATTTACCACTACAGCAAGAACCCTTCTTGTTCCAGTATTTGTAGTTCATCTACCAGCATCGTCCAAGGTAAGGGGTAAGACCCCCCCCAATATGGGCATCCTTTGGCTGTCCTATCCCGGGTGTGTGCACCGCCTAGGTGGATATAATTATCCTATTCCTTGGGCCCTCAACCAACCCATTGGCAGACCATTTCCGAAACGCCCATGTTTTAAATTGTTTTATAGAGAGAGGATTTAATTGCATTATTGAATGCCCCCTCTCTATCCATGAAGATTGTCATTGCTATCCCCTTGTCGAATTGAGAAGGGAGGGCTAGGGTCAGGACATTGGTGTCACTGACTTTTGCCAGTGCTTCCATATACTTTTTACCTTTACTTCGCATGAGGCTAAGGGCTTAAGGGCCGCCTGACTGTCTTTCTTCCTGGAATGTGTTCCTAGCTTTTTTATTTCCGACAGTTTGTATGATTTATGTTCTATAACAAATAAAAATTCATTTCTATTCTATCTTATAAAATATTTGTTGGATTGAGGAGAAATAATTTGTCGTTAATTTGCCTGTTGATGTGCAATTCCTTTTTAAATGGACCCTTTTAATTTAATTCAAAATTTTTGGATTTGAAGATAATCGCGGTATCTGTTAGGATTTTTTTTAAATGATAAAATGGTTAAAACGATGACCTTTTTCAGAAAGCGGTATGACTCTTCATAATAGAACGGGAATGATAACAGCGTCAGGTTACGATAATGATTCGGTGAAATAGAATTAGAATCTGGTGACAATTCAAAGGGAAACTTCGTATTTCTGAAGAAGATTTAATTTGAACAATTATCAATCCACTCGATGACACGTTGTTCATACGAATCCATAGAATTTCCAAACAGAGAGGAACAGAGAGTGAGAGAGAAAAAAAGAACCGATCTGTGTGTAAGTGGTTACAAGTACAACAAAATCAAAAATTCCGAGGATTAATCTGAACACAATCAAGAAAAAAAAATAAAAGGGGGGAAAATCTTTCAAATATGAAATACGTTTTATCTATTAAAAAGAAAATCGTACTTCTCACCTTTAAAAGTCGGCATGGTTTATCGTTGAAATTGGTGTAGTTTTACAGTGACACCTGCGCCAGTCAGACGACTAACCGATTTTCAGCAAACACGGTACGAATCGTAGGTTTGATCGAATCAAAGTGATAGAGAGAAAATTGTTTAAATGAATAGAATTCGTTTAAAACGATATTTTGTGAGTGTGCGAGGACCGTGGGGTAACACAAAACGACACTACCTCCGTCGGCCCAAGGCCGACTACCGACAACACTGCATCTGCCCGCCGACTTCATTAACAAACTTGACCAGTTTCAAACTTTAAAATTCAATTTAAATCCAGTTTATTTTGATTAATTATTCCTCTTTTAAAAGTTAGCCACAATTTATAGGATTGAAGAATGAATTTACAGTTGGTGAAGTTTGAAAATGAATTGAAAACTAGCGGAGGGGGGACACGGTCTTTTTATTTAAAAATTCCTACAAACCACACACCTTCCTTTTTTTGCACTTTTCGACAAAATAAATGCACCACCCTTAACCCTAGAACATACTGTTGAATTTATTATACAATGGATTATTATACAGATGGGGTGTGTTACACCACAACATTGTGAGTTGAATATTAACACAAGTTTCAATTAATTATTCTTTCTATCTAAGATCTTGGTTGAGATGAAAATGTTAGTGTCATGAGCAGGATTCGAACCCACGACCTTCGGCTCAATACGCCACTGCTCTAACCACTTGTGCTATTGAGACTTCGATCCACAGCTGAAGGTCGTGGGTTCGAATCCCGCTCATGACACTAACTTTTTCATCTCAACCAAGACTTTAGATAAAAAGAATAATTAATTGAAATAATTAATATGGTCAATTATGACTGCTGAACATAACGGATTAACGTAAATACAATTTTCTTAGACTTTTTTCTATATTTTTTGCCATTCTAGATTGCTGAAATATAAGATAAACTGTTGAAATTGCTCAAAACTCCCTTTATTTGAAGTAATAGACAAACGAAATTTATCAAAGGAAAACTCAAATGAAACTGACTAACTTGGAAATTGCAGTCATTACACACACACACAAAAAAAATGAATTTAACATTTATAGCATTTTGTTGCTGGCATATTGCTCTGAGGTACTTGGAACACAAAAATTTTGTTTTGCAACCCTTTGTGCACACCTAACTTTTTCTGTTAACTGTTACTACCTGAGAACCATTTTAACCATCTTCCAGCTCTTGAGGAAGGGTGTCATTCCAGTAGTGTTTGGATTTCGGCTCGTAGGTATGAATAAGTGTCTTCAGCTGGTTGCTCAAAAGTTGGGGTGAAAAGATAGCTTTGGCTCTTGATTGTGGGCCAGGTCTACCTGACACATCTTTTTTTAGGTCTACTTTTTTGATGAAGGCGGTTCCTCTTGCCATGCATACCCATTTTTGCCTGGTAGATTCTGCCTTTTTCTAGAATTTTCATTTGCTCTTTGAGTATGGCCACAGTTGTTTGTTGTGAAGTGTGACTTCCAAAGAACTCAAGCATTTTTTTTAAATTATAATGGGTAATAAAATGAAAGTATGTCAGAATCAAGCCCTTGAGAAACTTTTCCTTCAGTTTCTGTTTTTCTCTATGAATGGTGCACAGCCATTCTTCATCTAAAGCTACTACAATGGTCACCGATAGCATCAAGATCCAAAAAAAAAATTCAGCTTAGCCACCTGTCCACTATGCCATGGCACAGCTTACTCTACATGTTTTTTGAATATTCACTGTCTGGCACTTACTTAAATCGGCCTTTTGTCAACAATTTGCTAAGCAAAAAAGACCTCTTTATTATTGATTGAATAAACATTTTATGCAATTTTAATTACATTTATCTTGGAAAATATCAAATACAATTTTTAATGAGCAAATTGGATTGCATAATTTGAAACATTTTCATAAACAAATCGTATGTGAAGTTTGCACGTAAGCAGAATTTATTCGGATGTTTCTTGTAATAGTTTATAGTTGCAGGAAACGCACATAAAAAATCTGAAAGTCAATAGGAAAATATAGATAGAAATAATACGTTCTTCAGCTTCAAAAGTAAGCTTTTATTGGAAATTGAAAATTAAAATGTATTTATGTCAGATAAGAATTTTATGACCAATCGGTATGAAAAACTTGTATAAATTATAGAAACCTCAATATGAGATCATTAACATGACACTGGAAGGCCATATTTTTGTATTTAAAATTAAGCCTTAAAAATAATATAGCAACTAATTAAGATATTCATGTTCATTCAATTAGTTTTATCAAGCAGTTCTATCACTTCGTATTAATAATTGCACACATTAATTTACAAAATATATACATGCAAATTTTATAATCTTAACGAACAAAAATCTTGGTTGTTTTAAACAAAATGAGAGAATAGTACAATATACAAACATATATCCAACAGAAATCTAATATTATTCTGTACCTAGTATTTTAGTGCTTCACACACGATTTCGTTTTTTCCTTCTTTATATGATGTGTTATATCATGTAGTAAAATTGTAAGCTAATACATAATATCTATAGCTTCATCTCTTTGAATAATTACACGTACAGAACTAGGAAATCACATCAGAGTAAATAAAATATAGAGCATATAATAATACGTTCTAATAGAATAATATTGTACATAAAGCTTTGTTCAAAAGAAAACACACATCGATGCAAACATTCTCTCCTTATTGCATTTGCGCAATGATAATAGTTTACACTTATAAATATTTTTGTCAAAAATTTTAACACAATATTATACTCTATGTTTTGTACAAAGAAAATAAATCATAACAAAAATTTTAATGAATAAAAAATTACGTTTTTTAAACAATTTTATAGTTTTATACAACATTGAGATATAAAGATTTACTTATTTTACGTAATTAATTGTAGAATACACTATCAACATACAAAGAGTAAATTCTATTTAAAAGATAGAAATATAAATATTTTTTCTTCCCTAAAAAAATAAAATAAAAATGACTTGGAAAATTAGAAATAAATATATTCAACCATCTATGATAATAAAATCAAGTTTAACATGCCCCAAAGTTTAGCATACCAGGATTCATTTCATTCATTGGCAAGCAATGGTCCCCCAACATACAAAATACTTGTTCATTAAATAAAGTTTTCCAAGGCAAATTATTTGTCGGGCACTTTGTGGCTTTTTAAGTTTTTATACCAATTTAAACTTTGAATTTTTTATAATTAATCAACAAATAAATATACATATGCATATTTCAATTTACACTGCTGTAGCCCCTATTTGATTGATTTTGTTCCTCCATTTTAGAATTTTCCGTGAACACTGGATATGCAAGTGTAGTATTTAGTGAATCATTGTGTTCCTCAAGTGAATTCTGCTGGTAATGTAGAACTAGTGCTTTGAGCGATACGTATATATTGTACGGTTCTGCAAATCCATATCCCCTTTCTGTCTCGTATATGATGCAGTGATTCACAATTCCATTACATCTGAAACAAAACATAGTGGTGCCAATTAAGTTAAATACCATTAGAGAACAGCGTAAATCAATTCAACCTTCTAATATTCTAAGGAAAGGAATGCCATGATATGAGAATCGTGGGGTCGCCTGTTACGATTCTTGGAGGAAACAGGGTTGTTTTATTTATGTAATATTAATAGTTTTGTGTCCCTAGAGTGTGTTGAAAGAGAATTTATTTATTGGCAGGAATGTTCTCTAAGAGAGCCTACGGCATAGTATTGAGTATCTCATCGACCCTCAATTAGGTTATATTTAATTTTAAAGATGATAAAGATTTTACACGAGTTTGAGTCCCACTTGTGACACTAATTTTTCTTCTCAACCTTCTTTGCATAAGAATTAAAAATAATAATAAAAACTGATAACTAATAATAATAATTATGATTAAAAAATGTTACTGTCAATTTCCCGATTGCTAAATACTATGTCGGAATGCAACCATATGATGCTATCATGTTTGAATATTAGTGGTAAAGGGAAAAAATTTAAATAGTAGTCGGCTGAGATGTGGAATTAGTGTCTCTCGGACCAAAGTCATGATTGCTCAAGTGGCATAGTACCAAGGTATAAAGCCGGGGGTTGTGGCACCATTATCGAGATAATAAGAAGATTTAACACGTTCGTTATGGGCGTCGATCTGGAACTAGAAAATCCCTGCTTTTTGAAGTTTGTAGTAGAGGTTCTGTTTCCTCCTCCTGATCAAGTGGGTTTCACAAGACTTTGTCAACGTTACTGCGAAGATAGTTTTTCAATTTGACTTTTGGGTATTTTTTTACTATTTTTTGAATAATTTTTTTAACAATTAAAATCCGCCCTTAATTATACATAAGTTAATATCATTGCAAAATGCATTTTTCATGTTGGTAAATCTTTTGGTTTCACAAAAAACTTTTATTTGAAGGTATAATCAAGGATAGCACGTCAAAGAATTCCGTGTTTATCTCTTTGACCTTTTGCTCCCTTGCGTTTTTCTGTTTGGTATATTTTTTTTAACTAATTGTAAATACATTAATTAGTTAATGTGTAAGTATTTTGTAAATAATTTAGTTAATAATTGTCAATAAGTAGTAAATATGGAAATAATTACTGTATTTGTAAATAATATGTACTATTTTTTCAGTTCAGATTTTATTCATTTTAATAATATACTTTAAAAACATGTTTTAATGTAAATATAGTAATATATATGAAATTCATAATATTTAGGCGGCTGATTGTAAATTATTGAGTGGGTAAACATAAATATTGATGGATTGCCTAACCTGACCTTTCCCATATACGAACGTCATTCCAGAATGATGAGCCAAAAATCTAAAAAAGGCAATTCATTTAGCAAAATTTTCATTAAGGGTCAATTATAGACCTAAATAAGATTTCAAAACAGTATTTTTTTTTTGTATTTCAGGGTGTGTCTTTACAAGTCAGTACTGTAACGAACGTGTTAAGCTCTTATTCTGGCGACCCAATAAAAAAAAATTGGATGACAAGATTTGTTTAAGGGCTGGTTTTACAATTGTTTTATCCTACCAGTAACAAATACTATATGATTGAAAAAAATGTGTTTCAAAGTTTTACTGGTTCTTGATAATGCCAGTTGTCACAGCAAGAACCTGGATAATCAAAAATGTGGAAATAGTTTTTAGAATGATAATTATATATACATGTATAAAAAAAATGTAATACATATTTATATAAACACTTATAGTACTTACGTAATAGATAAAGCATACTGTCCAGTTCGACTAGGTCTAACTAAAAATGTTCCATCCTTACAACCTGACAAAAGTTGTTCCGCTTTGTTTCTCGAACACTCCTTAAGCAGCCATGTATTTTCATCGTTATGTGGGCATTCTTTTTCTTGTTCACAAACTATACCCGCACCACCGCTTAAAAACTTTTGTATGTTTTGATTTGACACCCCATGCGACAAGAGCCACCTGTAATTATAACACAATTATCACGTATGCAGGTAATAAAAACAGTACAATACACAAATGTTTAAATACATTTTTAATACTCACTGTTTATGTCTGTCAATCTGTTTATTTAACTCGTTAATTTCAGCTTTTAAATTGTGCATTTCACGTTCTAAAGTTCTGTTGTAAGCTCCTTGCTGTTTTAGGTTCTCTTCTAATTGCAGTTTGCTCTCTTCTAGTGAAAAAAGACGCTGTCGAAGTATATCACCATTTTGTTCAAAGCTAAGGATCAGAAATAAAAGTTAAAACCATTCTCAAATTTGTTATATACAAATTAATATAATAGTTAAGTTTTTTTACTGCCTTTTAATCTCATGGGGTTCGGCTTTTTTCTGGAATTTCTCTTGGATTTTAATTTGCTCTTCGAACATAGCCACAGTTTCTTTGAACGCTTCCAATGCCTGTTTTTTCAGCTGGATCTCTTTGGACGTTGTAGAAAAATCTTCCGAATATTCAGAGTGAGCTTTGTTTTTAGTTTCAAATTCTCCATAGAGTTCAACAAATTTTGTAGCAACTTTCATGATATCCTGGCTGTTGGATATTTCCTCATCCTAAAATTTAGAAATTTATGATCAGATGACCATGTTATGTCAGGGAAATAACATTTACACTAAAATTACATAATATAATTTAGCAGTAAAATTGCTAAATCGTGTCTCTCTCACAGATTTTTATTTTTTAATTTTTTAAAGCCATTAATGTCAAATTATATGATAAATGGAAAATATTCACTTTAATTTTACTTTCATTATTAAATGATTTTATTAATTAAATACTAATTAAATCAAATTGCTTATTTAACGGTTTCAGTTCACTGTGTAATTAACAAATATAGGACAAAATATGAGATAAAAAAGACAGACATGGATCAGATTGGAACCCATCCGAAGTCTAATCCAATATAAATATTTTTCTTTGTTAATTGTAGAAATATTATATTACCTGCTGGTATTTAGAAACTGGATACAATAGCTTGATATCAAGTGTTGGATTATACTGAGAAAGCGAAACTCCTTTATAGAAATTCACCAGATCGACTACAGTATTAAATTTGTACGGCTCAGTAAAACCATATTTTCCATTCCGATGGGATATTTTAATTAATTTGTTACTTCCTCCTTTCCTAAGTGTAAGCGTATATTCACCACCTTTGCTGGAAGCATTTCTTACTAAAAATGTTCCATCAGGTGTGTCCATTAGCTTTTCATTGACAACATTTCTGGAAAAAAAAATATACATGTATAGTAGAACAGTTACTATTTTTATTTGATAGTCTGATGTAAATTAATGAGTGCAAACCCCCACTCCACCCATTTGAAGTAATTTATGATTTATACAAACTGTCACCATTTCTATACCTAGAGAACTGATTAAAGGCACTTGCAGCATATTGTACATTACATTCGACAACTTTGGACCTCCATTTGAAATAATTTATGAATAGGAATATAAATAGTATACCTACGTTAGTTGATGGGTTTAGAAAAAAGTTTACTTCAAAAAATTATCTAAGAGTAATCAATGACTGACTCAGTGACTCGAGTGTTAAGTATAACTGGAATTTAAGTAATGCATCTTATGAAAATTATTAAGAACTCACCGCGTAATGTCGCCCCAATACCATTCTGCATCTTCAAGAGACAAGGAGTTGTTAGTAGTGATCGGTTGTATTGGAGGGCTTTCGATTGGAGGGGCTGTCGAAACTTTTCTTGGAGGTAGTGAAGGCACAGTTGTGAAATCAGGCAATGTTTCACCCCAATTTCCATGGAAAAGAAGAAGCTCAATAATCCTCATATGCTGTTCAGTATTGTACATCACTTGACTAAAAATAAATAGACATTAAAAGATAGATCATGGTATACAATTTTAATATTAGACATTATCAATTTACTTGATTATTGAATTAATTGAATCCCTTATTATAAGACACACGCACGCATGCGCACTACAATTTAATTTAAACAGTACATATTTACATTTTAAGTTCAATTTAAATCCCCACAAAATGCATGAATGGAGAAAACAATGAAAAAGAAATGGATAACAAATGTCTCCATTCTTACTTACATTATTCTTTCCCAAGGTGGACGCAAAAATATGTGGCAAAACACTTGAACAATAGTGGTAGGCGACTCTCGAAAACCTCTCGTGTACTGTAATTTGCAGATTCTACAAAGATGCGCAAGGATGTAGGACAAAGTCGACTTATGCTGTATGGGCAATTCCTCAACAAGGTTCAGTAGACAAGCAGCACACTGGTCATCATTTTTGATTCCTTAAAGACAAAAACAAGCAATTAAAAACAATTTTATTGATGTTAACCTTTATTCCTGTATTCCATTTTGAAGAAAATTATTTATATTTAAGGGGGGGGGGAATTGTAGCTATGATGATTGTTGGACAATTGAACGATTTTAAGTTTCTCATTTGTTTTATTAATATTTTTTATAGGGATTTACAACAGCAGAGGACATATCAACCTCCGAGTGTGGGAACAATTTTACTTAACAATATTAGGGTCACAAACAATTTTGAAAAAATTTAAATTTTGAGCCTTGAGTACAGTGTGCAACCAAGTTGAAAATGCGGAACATAACGTATGTTACTGCAAAAAATTTGAAAAGAACGGAAGACTTTTCCTTATGATAGATCAATGCAAAATTGCAGTCTTATAATTACAAATTTTTAATATATACAGAAAACTTCAGCGTTTATCGGGCTTTGGTCAACTGTATAAAACAAACTGGTTGTAGTTTGTGACTGCTGTAAATGACTAATAAAACAATAATTCAAATGGCTGAAGACAACAGGTCAATGGAAAAAAAATTGAGCCCACAATTTAACATTTTACAAAAACACATTGATATAGTTTTTACTATTTTTAGCTTTTAAATTTTGTTAATTTAAACAAAAAATTACCTTTGCTATCTCAAAATATCTTGCTTATTTAGTATATAGTCATTATTTTGATTTTTATTAAAACTTTTTCATGTTGTGTTCTGATCAAGAATTGGATGCTAAAAAAAGTTGTAGGCATTTTTTTGGAAATTAAGAAGGCATTTGACTCTTGACCATATAATAATAATAATTCAAAAGTTATCTAAAATTGGCATCAATGGAACTGCTCTTATCTTTTTAAATCATACTTTTCTGATAGGGCTCAGAATAATCAGATCTTGCTGTAGTAAACTATTATCAATTAAATGTAGGGTACCACAGGGTACAGTTTTAAGTCCTATATTTTCCTTATTTACATTAACGGTTTATTAAAATGGAACATTTCTGTAAAAATCTTTAGTTACTCTAATGACACTTCTATTATATATTCAGCTCCTTTTAAATTCAGAAAAACTAACATTATATTCTTTTATTATTATTTCCATTAAAACCATACTAGATTTAAACAAACATGAAATTATTTTATTGGAGAAACATTTGAAATTGTTCCTGCAAACCTCTTACTTTAAAATATTTAAGTGTACTGCTGGACCAACCATTCATAAATCCAGGATTTACCAAAAATAAATGCAACTAAATACTATAACTTTTCTTCTAACAGGATACTTAAATGTATTTATCAAAACTGAATTAATATCAGCAATTTCAGAATGTAAGTCAGTTCCAAAAAATTTATACATTCATACATTCTTGACTTGAGAGATTATGATTCTCAAAGTCCCCACCTCCTAAATTAATATTATTTTTTACTTGTTTTATTATAATAAAAAGACATGTTAGTTTTACAACTTTTGCTGCCCAGCACAAGTATTTATACTAATGGAAAGCAGGCTATAATGGAAGAATAACAAATTAGTTGTATAATTATGTGCTGATTTTTTTTTTAATTTGTTATTATTCAACTTGATATCCAAAAAACTGTATGAACTTTGTATTTTCCATTATGGTAAATGAAAAATGCATTATTATTATCATAAACAACTACTGTTTAGTTGAAACTGCAATATTCTTTCATAAAAGTGTTTGGGACAGGGCAGACCTGGTTAAGATTTTTTTAAAGCATGGTTAGTCCAAGATGTCACCGACAAAATGAGGTAAAAAGCTTGGTGGAACAGTTGAGTAATCAATTTAAACTACAATCATTAAGGTTGGACCAACAAACATGCTCATACATATGAGAAAATTGCTATGTTTGTGACTCGTTTTCTTGAAAAATACTTGCACAATTTAAATGAGACCTTTTGCAAAGTGCGCACAGTCATTTATTATACGACGTATAGAGCAGACAGAATTAGATTGTAAACAAAGGAAGTATGAATGTTAACAAGCAATTGTGAACAAAAATTGATATATTCTTTTCATAAAATGTTTGACACGAGGCAGAGATCTAGTTAAGATGTTTTTAAAGATAGATAGTCCAAACTTCACCTACAAAATGGGATAAAAAGCTAGGTGGTACTTTTGAGTAATCAATTTAAACTACTAATCAGTAAAATTTATTATGAAATTTTCTGAATAACAAATTAGAAAAAAAAATCACTACATACTAGTATAGTTATTTTGAGATAGCAAAGTTAATTTTTAGCTGTAACAAAATTTAATAAAATAAGATATTTTATAAAGATTAATACTTACTTGAAGCTTCAAGAAATCGGTCATACCATTGGACAGGTATAATTCTATCAGGTAACTCACGCAAAAACTTTTTAAAAATTGTTGTCACTGTACAAATATTGTAACACGTTAAATCTAGCCTACTTAGGTCTGAAAAAAAAAGAAAAGGTATACACATTTGTAAGCATTTACTGCAACATAAGAGGATGTAAATTCAAATCATACCTTCATTTACAGCTTCGCATAACTGAGTTATTTCATCAATAGGACCTTGAGTGCGATACAATTTATATAAATCGGCAGTAGGATCATTACGGCCATAACGTTCTATTTCTTGTGTGAACATTATCACAACAACAGGTGCTTTCTGTTCTGTAGGTTTGAATTGCACACACAATGCCATACCGAATACTAAAACACGAATTTCATTATTATATTGTACTCAGATTAAAAATTAACTTAACCCTTACCCTGGTACATCTGCTCCCTATAGGATATTGTTCTTAGATATTTTTCACATTTATCACATTTCTCCAAGTCAACTCCAGGAAGAAGTGGGGGATGTTCAGTGGGCTTTACTGCAGGTTCGCTTAGTTTGTCTGGTTTTTTACCATCATTTTTGGACAATTCATCTATACATAGTAAAATTGCCTCTTGGTGAAATTCGTCCTTGATACCCATTGTCTGAAAGAGAAATCGCAAATAAGACACTGTATAAATTTTTATTTTATAATTAAAGACTATTTTCTAAAAGCAAGTGTGGATGAGGAAAAACAATGTTTTATACTCTGGTCTGGAGAGGGAGATGAACCTGTAATTTGGTCGTTACCAATCATTTTAGTCTGCCTATCCTTGCTAGGCTGGTCTTCACTTTTTTTTTGTTCAATTGTAACTTATGATATGTCGCATAGTTGTTGCACCCATAGGGCATCGTTGGTTCAAGGCCTTCTCTCGACAAAGAGGACTCGAGGTCTTTCTTCTTGACCTAACTTGGAAAAATAGACTAAAATGATCCGTAACAACCAAATTACAATAACTTTTGATTATAGTTTAATATAAATTTAAAATATGAACTATTATTTGATAAAAATCATAGAATTATATATATTTTTTAATAATGGGTTTACCTCTAACGTATCTTTGTTGAGTCTAATCAAATCCACTCCTTTAATGTTTTTTGCCTTGAAAACATTAATATATCTGTATAAGTTAAGACTAGTCAGCAGTTCAACAACATTTGTGGTTGACCATTGAGATAAGGGCTGCAAAATACAAAAAAATAATAAAGGTATTAATATGTACAATAATGATAATAATAAAAATAATAATAAGCATATATTTTATTGCAAAAAACAATTGTATAACATAAAACTTAAAAGTAAATTTACATCATGAGAGTCTGTCTGCCAGAGTATTAACTATATTAGTAAATTGTTGTTGATAAGATGAAACTTGACTCTTCTGGTCTTTCCAACACTTCTTCATCTTCAGAGTCTGGCCTGTCAATTGGCAAAATAACAGACACCAATGAAGATGGCTCAATGTGCCTGATTAGACAAAACCAGAGAGTATAGGGAAGACACAAAATAATTGATGGAATCAACCTATAAAGTAGTAGTTTCTGCTGTGTAATGTCTATTTTTGTGTAAACAGAAAACTAGTAATAAACAGTAATAAATCTAGTCTAGTCATGTATTTGTTAGTAAATATACTATTTATTGTGTTATTATTTGAACCAAATATGTTTTTAATGACTGCCTAGAAAAGACAAAAGTAATCTTAATCAAGATTTTTGATGTTATCTTCTCCAGCTCAAATAGATCTTAAGGAAGGCAGGCTGTTCAGGAGATTAAACAGCCTTATCTTTTATAAAATGCGAATGAATCGACCCAAAGCAAAAAGATGAAGATGACGTGAATCATATAAGGGTCAAAGACTGTACAAAGTTGATATTTGGTCATCGATCAATTTAGACTGCCTATCTTCGGTGAGTTGGTCTGTCAGACACATGTTTGGCATTTCCCACTCTTCAGTGTGTCAATTAATTAATAATTAAGATCAATTCATCATAGGATACATTTTTATGCATTTACAAATAAAACAGGCTCTGAGGATGATGTTTTGTCATTTGTTGACAACTCTTAACTTTGTATAGTCCATGAATCTTATGTACCTCTTCCTCATCATCATCATCCTAGTTTATTTTCATAATATCATCATTTTAATTATTTCACACTTCATTATCACAAGTTTTTCCTTAAAATAAGATAATAAATCCCTCATTTGAATGGGACATGATCTACAAAATAAGCTTGATTACTATATTCATTGACTGGGAGGCGTACGACTCGTATTTGCCACACTAGCGGTTCTGGGTTGGAATCCTGGCAAAGCCCATATAGTTTTAATTGAGAAAAATGTGAAACAAGTATTGTAATGTAGATTGTCCTCTCATCTAAGACACTCATCAGTTATTTTGAGGCTAAGCCCTCCTGTATGACAGGAATTACTTTACTTCATCCATGAAAATCTTGTTCATCCATTTGCTGAACAATTGCATTTTATAAGATCTTAAGGCATTATTACTTAAATAGCTATTGTTTGCATCAAGAAATTTTTTAAAGCATTCTTCCTTCTTCCTTTCCTGTACTTCCCACCATGGTTGAACTTTCAAGTATTTCAGGTCTACCTTGTTTTTGAGGATGACTCTCATCAGAGCAGATGTTAAATTCTTCATCAATAATGCAACTATACGAGCTGTCAATCACTGAAAAGTTTTTTCCATTTAAATATTCCATCCTGACGCCTTTTTGGCGAGGTTGTAATATACCTTATCTTTTATTACGATGATTGCACAAAAAATAATCCAGTCGGGTAAAATCCTAACTTACATTTGTATCGTTTTTATTATTACAATTTTAAAATAAAAAGAAAATAATATAATAAAATTTATACTTATCCTAACCGATCAGGTATAAATTTTAAGAGAAGAAATACAAAGCTAATATGAGGTGCTGGCAGGCAACAGTCTGTCTCTGTGTGTTAAATACTAATCATTTTCAATTTCTCTTCACATTAATCATATTTTAAGAAGTTTGTGTTCTTTAACAACTCAAAATTATTAAAATTCCTTTGCGACAAAGGAATGGGATAAAGAATTTCCACCATTTAATGGGATAATGCATGATTACACTTTTAAAAGTGGTCATAAAATTCTATCTAGTTGTTAAACAAAATTAAACACATTTAAAATTATTTTGTCCTGTTAATTTAGACGAAAACATCCCATTGTTGCTTATCATTGAAATATATAGTTCAAATTCAATGGCAAAGTATCAGCCAAATAATTAAGTGGAAGACTTTTTTTTTTTGTTTTTAAAGGTTTTTAATTTTGCAATTTTAATTGGTTTATTAGATTTTAAAAGCAGAATAGTAAATCCTCAGCTTGGTAATACAAAATCATGTACTAGCTAGTACAAATTTTAGTAGTAATCGTATTACAAATAATTATTGAATAGGTTGAGTGTACAGCTATAGAAATAATTAATAATTAAATAAATAATTTTCTGAGCAAAAGATTAAACAAAAATCAACACTTTCCAAACGAAAAATAACCGAAAATTCCACGTCTTCGATTTTGGCTGGTTTTTAAGTTGTTCTATTTCAGAGTTTTTATTATTAAAATAAATAGTAAAAGCTATTCTTACTTTTTGCAGTTTTTAATCAGCTTCCACAGCTTTAAGCACGAACAAATGCGTTAATTCGTCGGTGTTAAGTGTTACAAAAAGTTTATATTTAGAGGATAGTCCTTTTTTCCCTAGTCAAACTCTATAATGTAAAAACACGTGTTGACGTCAACATTGAACTTCTGAATTTTAGGCTAATCGACTACCACAATAATATTCAAAATAGCCCTAAAATAATTTTAAAAAAAGGATCTAGACGGCATTTCCTCGAGAGCGGCAATAACAAATCAAGTTATGAAGTCAATATCCCTAGTATGGTCTATTACGGTCCCTTTCGGCCACCCGGATTAATTTAAACCGAATTCGAAATTCATCGAGTCAAATTTCAAATATGTACTTAGTTTTGTAACGTTTTAGGAGGGTACGGAAAAGTTCAGCTTGCCGACGCCCTCTCTCCCTACTTTCACCTCTAATTATAAGGTGTACATCGAAACTGTTTTAAAATTTTGTATTCGCTTCGAAATCAAGTTTATTTTTGGCTCTTTTCCGGTAATTTTTAGAGCTTCTGTTCGTTAAGCCGCTCATTGTCGACTCCCTCGCAATACGAAGGGAGAGTTGATATTGAAAATTGCCTTAAGGTCCAAAGTGGCAACCATCTTTCCACCATGGCTAACGTAATTTAAACGAAAAAAAGTCAATAAGCACATTAAAATAACTCGATTTATTGTCTAAAATATTTTGGAAATGTGAAACAGCCGCATTATATGCCAGATGAACCAGTCGCTTACATCATCTCCGGCCTATTAATGTATTAGATGGCGTTTAAAATCTTATTTCACGCTTAGTTTACAACTACAATCTACTGTATTCCTTATTGAAATATTTTATCCCAAAATAACTGTTATTTAAATATTCTAAGAGTTTAAAAAAACCAAGCTTCACGTCTGCTTGTATTCTTCACTAACCCACGCCGAAAGAAATTATTGCTGCGTACAAAGATTGCTAATGTTTGTTTCTATTATTTCTTTCATTTTACCATTCCATGTATATCAGTATTTCTTTTTGTTTTCTATGTATATCAGTTTTTTCTTTTTTCTTCTTCTTTCGTTATGCGTCAGTATTGCTTTTTCCTTTCTATGTATTATAGTTTTTCTTTCTTTGAATATCAGTTTTAATTTTATTTCTTCTCGTTGTATGTCAGCATTTCTTTTTTCATTCTCCGTATTCCAGTTTTTTCTTTCTTTGTATGTCAGTATTTCTTTCTTTCTCTGTATGTCAATATTTCTAGTATTCTTTCGTGTATGCCAGAATTTATTGTTTTCCCTATATGTCAATATTCTTTATTCTTCTTTCTCTGTGTGCCAGTTTTTCTTTTATTTCTTCTCGTTGTATGACAGCATTTCTTTTTTTATTCTCCGTATTCCATTTTGTCTTTCTTTGTATGTCAGTATTTTTAGAATTTATTGTTTTCACGATGTCAATATTCTTTATTCTTCTTTCTCTGTGTGTCAGTTTTTCTTTTATTTCTTCTCATTGTATGTCAGCATTTCTTTTTTTATTCTCCTTATTCCATTTTGTCTTTCTTTGTATGTCAGTATTTTTAGAATTTTCTTCTTCTTTCGTCGTATGTCAGTATTTCTCCTTCTTTCTCAGCATATCTGTTTTTCTTTTTTTCTTCTTTCGTTGTAAGTCAGAATTTCTTTTTCCTTTCTCTGTATTTCAGTTTTTTCTTTCTTTGTATATCGGTTTTTTTATTTTGCTTTCTCTATATTTCAGTATTTCTTTTTTCTTTCTCGGTATTTCAGTTTTTCTTTCTTAGTATGTCAGTGTTCTTATTTTTCTTTCTCTATACGTCAATACTTGATAGTTTTCTTCCGTGTATGCCAATATTTATTTTTTTCTCTATATATCAGTACTTATTATTTTTCTTGACCGTATGCAAATATTTCTTATTTTTCTTTCTTTGCATGTCAATATTTCTTACTGTTCTTTCTTGTATATCAGCATTTGTTACTTTTTTTCTCTGCAAATCAGTATTTCTTGTTTTGCTCTGCTTGCAGATATTTTTCCTTTCTATGTAAGAAGTATTTTGTTTTTGTATATATCGGTAAGTCAGTTTTACTTGCCTTTATATGTTTGTAGGCGACTAATTTTAGACTGTTTTAAAGAAAATTGTTTCAAGCCTGCCATAATAAAACATGCCGTTCGATGAATTTCTAATTCACTGTGACCTTTAGACCGACTACCCTTGAGAGAAATAGTGAAATGATCAAGCTAAATAAACAAATCATGGACTGTAGAAATAAGTGTTACTAATCCGGGAAATGGTAGGGGGCCTGTAGGCGCTTCATATTTTTCATTACCTCCAGAATCGAAATAAATATCTAATCTATATACCGATTATTGAAAATAACATCGAGGGAAAAAGGACGGCGCACAATTTACGACAAAAATCTGAATATAAAATTCCATACAATGCGAATATGTGTGAGTATAATATGAATATGTATTGCAAATGACATTCTTTACAATGATATTTACACAAATAACATTAAAAACTCATTACATACCAAAGA